GCGCACATAACATCTTTGGGTGGGCGATGCGAATACGAATTAGACGATAAGAACTGTCTATCGTACTTTTTCTTCAGCACTGGTGATCAAAAGATTTTTGCAGACCGTTTCGGTGATGTTATTGGTTTGGACGGAACATACAAGACGAATAACGAGAATATCTATTTATATCAGGTCGTAGCCCTTGATATGAATTTGAAGGCGATACCCGTTTGTATTGCATTTATAAGTCGCGAAACATCGACTTTGATTTCTCGATTCCTGTCGTTCTTCCAACGGTTAACCAACAGTCGACAGGTGGTAGGCATTGTGACAGATGATTCACCTGCAATAGCTGCTGCCATCATGCAGGTGTATCCCAATGCTCACCATATCTTGTGTCGCGTCCACCTTGTTCGCAATGTTATAAAGAGGGTAAGTGTTTCGTTCATTAACATTAACCCAGTAACCTTAATTGTAGAGGGTACGATCAGAAGTGATACAACTATTTTTTCGCCTGATGTTTACTCAAACGGTTGAAAGGTAAATCAAAAGCAACATAACATTATTTTGTAGTTTTAACAATGTATTATCCTTGATCGAAATATCGGACGGAACGTTTGCCCGATATGTCAGAGACCACCTATTACCGAGAAAACACAAATGGTCTACAGCTTTTCGACCATCAGCAACGCTACTTCAACTCAATAATACGAACTTTGTTGAGACAAGTCACCGAATTTTGAAGATGCATCAACTGAGTCGAAAAACACCTGTGCTGAGATCTATTTTTAGTGTGCTACTTCGCGTTGGATATTGGATGGAAGCAAGATTACGGAAATATACATCAGATTGCCGGGTAAAAGCCAACATCGGCCAAGAGCCAGCAATGCGTGGACTTCAGGAACGACTGACACCAGCTGCATGTCAAGTACTGAAGCGGCACCTGCGCACTCCTTTGACGGAGTTTGTAATGTCTGTTGACTTATTCACGGCTGTGGACACAACAGGGACTTACAATGTACACCGTGATTCCATGCGCTGCTCCTGTACATTTTCCATTGAAAACGGTTTGCCATGTCGGCACATATTGGCTTACTGTACACACAGTATGACTGATGTGAACTTACAGTCAATTTGTGATAGGTGGTTACACTCTGATACTTATCTGACTCGTATTGCAGTTGAGAATTATTTCCCAATGCAATTGAGCCAGCCGAGCATGAAGAATACAGTGATTGCGTTAATCAGGCGACTGTCTGAGGAACAATGCAGTTCACTTTATAGCCAGTTTTATCAAGAACTTCACGGTAGACTACCACCAACGCCGTTGAACTTACAGGCTGAACCGCAGTTGTACACTGGAACAAGCATGTCGACTAACTTTACAACGCCGTTGATGCATCGAGGAAATGTCGATTTGGATGAAACGTTAAGTAACGACGAGGATGACGTAGTTTCTATAAACTCAGAAGAGTTAACAGAACGGGACATCCAAAATGAAGAAGATGAAGAGAACCGTTTGTGTGACATCTGTAATCTTGCACAGCCACCCTGTGAAACTGGTGATGAAGTGGGTTGGGTTTTCTGTCCTTGTGAAGCTATGTTTCATAGATTCTGTGCTTATGACCCATCACCGAACGTACGAGCAGTCCACTGTGCGATGAGTGGCGCCATTACCAACTAATAGTTTGGACGTCCCACCGCGAGAACGAATAAAGCCCTTTTCAGGGCCACCCACAAATTGGTTTAAAGGCATTTTTCCCAATATTGTTTTTGTCTTTGGCAAGGGTCAAGTGATTAAGCACTTTTTAATGTCGAATGCATTTAGATATACCTTAGATATTAATAATCGATAAGCGATTATCGCTCATGTATTCGTAAACTTGTTTCTAATGTATAATACATATAAAGGTTAAGAAAGCAGACAAGATTTTGTCATTTTATGAACACTTATCTAATAATTTTAGATGTAAAATAATGTGATTACTGTTCATGTCTTAGTAACATATTTGTAAACTATCTATTACTAGTACATTTTAATAGGAATATTTTAAAATAGTGAAAATCGTTATTTTGTCGTTAGGTGAATAAATTTATGAGGACATTTATTAGTGAATATAATAAGATAGTTACAAAGATGAATGTGATTAAAGCTCATAGAGAAGTAAACAAAATTGAGAAAAATATCTTCCTTATGAATAAGATACTGACATTATAAAACAAGTTGAAGCCGTCATCATTGAAATCAGTAATCTGATTAAAAGGTCATATAGTAAGTGTTAAAAGAAATAAGAATATTATCCGTTTCATGAATACAAAATGCAAGAATTTCATATTCCAGTTTTATATTAATAGTACCTGAAACCAGAACTAAGCGTACGTATGAATTACGTCCGATCGTCAACTAAGCCTTCATTGTTATTCATAACCACTGATTATATCAACGTATTCATTTGCACACCCATATAACTATTAATTACTGGTACAGTCACACTATACAGTTATAAGTCCATAATTTCCATATTTTATAAAGGCCAAAAATATGTCATGGCATTAATGAATTTGACAATGTAATGTGTTAACAATGGTGAACGTTTACATCTGTTACAAGTTGTAACATTTGCAAATTAGAAAGGTCATTCAATAAAGGTCTGGATTATTTGCAGTACAGTGTTCAGTCACAATAAGTGGAAGAGCATTATAGGAAAATTTAAAATGCAAAAAATTTTGTGTCAATGAAATGCACAGTATGAGAATTGAATCTTGTCAATTGACATAATAATAATAATAATAATAATAATAATAATAATAATAATAATAATAATAATAATAATAATAATAATAATAATAATAATAATAAGGAAAATAAATAATAATAGCATTGTAAATGTTCATTGATACAGTTGACCTTATTCATATTTATACGTTTAAAGTCGATAGATATTTGTTGAGTCAGTCAGACGACGTAGGCTTGTTCATTTACACTTCATGAAACTGATATTTCAAATGCTTGTCAAAAATGGTTACATTCATAATGTCTAGATAATTCAGGTTTCATATTACGGTTAACAATATTCACACATGACTGATTAAACACACTAGTTTTTATTACGACCAAAAAATTAATTTTAAAATACAGAACTACAAATAATTTACAAGTGAACACAATAAACCCTTTCAATGGACTTTTAAAATTAACCGCATTGAAATCTTAACGTTTTCTAATTCTCATTAAGAATGAACATTTACAAAAAAAACGTTCACTAAATATTAAGTGCCTATTTCGGTTAAATTTATTACTACATTCATATACTGTCAAAGTCAGTTCATTCAATGATGGTCTACGGTTGCTTCACCTTAATCATAAATATTGCAACTAGTAAGTTATCATGATGATTTATTAATATGTTGATTTGTTTCTCGAACTAACAGACCATGTGTTACCAAAAAACCTATGCATACACTTTAGTGATAATTTGTTTATTAATTTGGTATTAAAGATTTGACTACCGACCTTACTCAGTAATCACTATTATCAAATATTCAAACCGGTTTTCAGTTGCTTTTTTCCAAAAACTTTCTTTTTATGTGATATATATAAGTACTCGTTACATTAAAATTGTTGATCGGAAATCAAAAATTTATCCCAATACGCATTCAGTAACAGTGGGATTGCACTTAAGTTGGTGTTTTTTCTATAAATGTCTAAATTTCTTACAAGACTTACATTACACAAAAAGATTTATTCATTATCATTAAATTTCAAATGTAAAAATCAAAATTCTGACATCCAATCACAGCTCTAGATACGATTTCAATTTCAACTAATCACATTGCAAAGATGAACAGTTTACGACCAATTACAAAATTATTAAAGGTGACAAAATGTTTGTTTATTATCACTTGAGCACACACCTGCAAAACAAGTACACCAATCACCGATCGCTAAATTTTTCTTTGACACCATACATTTTTTTAGAAATGGGTGGTAGGGAATCTTAATTGCCGTGGGAAAATGTCAACCCAGGTGTTACATTTTATTCAGTACGAGATTGAGTTTATATTTTCCTGTGTAACATTATTTTAGGTCAATATATTCCATATTAGTTAAGTGTAAATTTGGTCCAATATGGCAGGTGTGAACTCTCTCCCAGTTTGTAATTATATTCTTTACGTTATTTTTGTTTGAACTTCGTTTGTGTTTTAAAGTAAAGCTGTATATCTTTTCATTTATATGGTGCCTATTAACTAATCATCAAGTGTGTAAAATCGGTTTGTTATTGAGTGTATTCGGTCTAACTTCGTCTGCTTTTGCCTCTTTCACTTGTTATGGGATTCCCTGTGGTTCCCGTTCCGAAGTACAAGCAATAGGATCGCAGATTCTATAATCCGTTATCGATATTAACACTAAGAAATAATGTTATTGATCCCCTCATTACTTTACCCTTTTTCATGTGATATATTCTCAACATCCGCCAAAGCAAGTGGTGTGACTCCGAAGTGTTTAATAACTCCTCTCATTTCATTCATTCAAACCTTTGGATGATATAATCAAACGACTGTTCGCTTATACATACATATACTTTCGTCACTCAAAAATAAGCTACGTTGTGGTATAGAATACAAAATCATATTTTTGGATTATATCAACTTTGGGTTTAGTTCTGTTGAGATCTTTACGCTTGTTTTTATTTACTCTTAACACAATGATACTTTTACTTCTGACTTTCACAACATGAAAAAATGTAAGTCAGATATTAATCTGCCTTCATTTAAGTTATTGTTCATGACTTTCCCTATTCCCATTAAAATATATTGTATGTGTTTTTCTGTTCAAATTGAATATTAGTTTTGATCGCTGCGTTAATCTTCATTTATTATGGACATAATAAATTTGAGCTATAAACATACGTAAATGAATATGCATTCACTGTGTAGATTAGAGTTCTACGTCTATCTTTTCTGTAATGAAATTTCATGTTAATCAGTGTTAATGCATGATTTACTTTTTTCTCCAGATTCCATGCAACGCTATATCCTTGCCCAGATTCACAAGCTGATCGACGTAATATGGCCATTGAAGTGATGGGTCAGATCCAAGATTTAGAAACAGTGCTAACGCAAACTAGGCAGCATCGTCAACGTATTTTAGAAACGGCCGCTAAAAATTTACGTACCTGGTTTATAAGGGTTAGGAAAATCAAGGCTATCTATCATACTTTAAATTTGTTCAACCTTGATGTAACTACGAAATGTATGGTTGGGGAATGCTGGTGTGCAGTGAATGATGTGGACAAAATTAATTTAGCTCTACGTCGTGGTATGGAACGCAGCAATAGTACTCTACAGCCGATTTTAAATGGAATAGTAACTACGGAAAATCCTCCGACATACCATCGAACAAATAAATTCACCTATGCTTTTCAAAGCATCATTGATGCTTACGGAGTCGCACGTTATCGAGAAGTCAATCCAGCTCTGTTCACAGTTATCACATTCCCATTCCTGTTTGCTGTAATGTTTGGAGATGCTGGTCATGGATTGCTTATGTTTCTTTTCGCTTTGTGGATGGTTGTATGTGAGCGAAAATTAAGCGTAAGTTTGGTTCAGAATTAAATCTTTTTAAAATCTAATACTATTAGTTATATATATAATTTACTCAAGTTTGGACACAACTCATTTTGTAAACTTTGTTTCTTGCTAGCTAATTTGCAAACTAATTTTCATATATCTTTTAAATAGCGTATAACTAAACTTATGCTAAATTCATTAACCTTAAATAAATCGATAAACTTTTTAGTTGATAACATTATGTTACATAATTAAAAATTCATTTATTTGTATGTCGAAGTCATTTCCTGTGCGTTTTATTAATAATGCAAGCACACTTTTCTATTTACCTGAATGATTTCTCTGTGTCATACACCCTGCGGATTGGAATATGACTTTAGACCTTATATCAAACTTCATCATATGCTTTAACTGCGTACACTTTACATTAATATTATGAAATAAATATCCTTAGTTTTAGATGCTTTACTAATCAAGACCTGTATATGATCAGATTATTGTATTGATAGAAATCATGTACATGGAAAACTACTAGAACAATACCAATTAATCCGAATGATACAAAAGGACGTTTCCAGATTCACTATTTGTTACAACTTTTTCAGTCATTCCAATGCAAAATAGGATTATGGTACAACACAACTATTCAAGTGTTGAAAGGTATAAAAAGCATTAAACAATGAGTGATAATAAAATGTTAAGGAAATTAATATCAAAACTCAATGATTCCGGAATGTATCACCTAGAGTCCTGATTAATTTTTATTGTTCAAAAGAATCTATTCAGAATACCCTTGATCCTGTTACATACTTCGAAATCAGTCAGTGACTTTTCGAATTGTGGGATTCCCTAGTCTTACAATCCACACATTGTTTCCAGCATAATATATTAACAGACATTGCAAATCATGGTCGGTGACAATTCGGTATATGTAATTCGTGAGGTGAATAGGGACTAATGACGGAATCCTTTTCATACCTCTTTAATCAGCACTTACATCCATAAACTAAGTTTTAGTTAACTCTTCATGTAAATCGATAACCATGTACAAACTTGATTTCATACCAGGTTTGTTATTTGAGGATAGATAATATTCAAACTTATGATCAGATGGTTAAAAGCAAATATATGAACCACTTAATTATATCAATTTTCAGCTCGCTTGCGATTAGTCTTGTCATTTCAATGTTGTAGAACTTAAACTTCAACGTGTCCACTACACGATAATGCATTTTAGGTTTTATATTATAGTAGATTCACTGTTCTGTGTGTACTGTAGGGAAATTTCATACAAATATGTACTGGCCGTAATCACAGCACACTATAGAAATCAGGCATTCCATAATGAAGAAATGTAAAACAAACTGTGAATGAAAGATGGTGTTGTGGCGTTACTCATTGCTGTTACCTTTTTTACTTTTAATGTGTTTTTAGGCTAATAAGTCCGGAGGTGAGATTTGGAATATATTTTTCAATGGTCGTTATATTATACTTCTTATGGGTTTGTTTTCAATTTATACTGGATTGATATACAACGACATATTCTCTCTATCTGCCAACATTTTCGGGTCCTCATGGTATCCAACTTATGATAATAGTGCTTTATCAAAGGAAGTTAGACTCCAGTTAGAACCTCGAACGAGCGTTAATGTGTCGGACCGAATGTATGCTGGATATCCTTATCCTTTTGGTTTAGATCCTGTATGGCAGTTATCTGGTAATAAAATCATGTTGACAAATTCGATCAAGATGAAGATGTCTGTCGTACTGGGAGTATTACACATGCTATTGGGCATTAGTTTAGGTGCTTTCAATTACAGGTAAATTCTTTTTATAATTTTGTTTTCCATGTTTCCTATAGTACATGTCTTAAGAGATGAACTTTGTATCACCTGTTATTCCCAGTAGCTCTTTCATTTTTATCGTTACATCATTTTCATTAGAAGTTTGTTCTATTGAATATTAAACAAGTGTGATGATCGCATCCTACTTTTATTTCGCTTCAGTTCTCATCTCATGTGGCTATTTTCGAGCATTGAGATATCAAAGTTGCTGCTTTCATCACTCAACGTTCGCGTTAACAGTTTATATATATATATATATATATATATATATATATATATATATATGAGCCCAGCTAGTTTTCTGGTTTAATTTGATCCCAGGTGTTACAGTCAGGTTTTCTGCGTGCCATAGAATGATGACGACTATAAAGTGACAGTTATCAGCATAGTTATTAGGGATAATTTCTCAGTAGGTTACCTTGTGAACACTGGCTAGAAATAATAAGACTAACTTTGTAGTCGCGAGAATCAAGGAGTGGAATAAAAGATTACTCAAGTGGGACTAGCTTCTGCTTTGTATACAGACAATTTGGAAATAGAATAAATTGGATTTATGTGTACGACACTAAACATGTGTTTTGTACATCTTTTATCTAAATCTGAAATAACTGGTAGAATGTGATAGGAATTTATTGGAAAAGTTCCAACTAATGATCATGTAACTTGTGTATCAGGTCTATGTTTATATAAGTAATTTCAGATAATTTTTTTATTAATGATACTACATGTTTACCCAAACAACTCGTTACTTAGGAATAAGAGTTAAACAATCGAATATAAATATTCACTGTTATTTGTAAAATAATCAATATGCAATTCATAAAACGGGTATGTGCACATCATTGTACTTTGTAAATTAACATTTATTTCGATCAAATCTTGTGTCAAGTTGTATCCTAGTTGGTATTTGTCAAATCATGTTTATTTGGGTTATTCGGTTTTCATTTTTTTTAAAGGTATTTATTCTGTTTAATTTAAGTAATTAGCTGGTTTCACTTTGCCACCTTTCACTTTCCTATTCATTTCGAGTGCTCAGAATTCATCTAATGCAGACGATGTGAAGAATATGTTTTCTTTCAAACCTAACTCAGCGAAAGTTTAGTTGCTTCTGATTTTCGAACTTTTCAGACCTTTCCCGGAGACAAATTTTATCTGTTAATAAAGAAATTGTTTTCCTTTTTCATTATTTTACTTTGTTATTGGTTTTTACATATATTGGATATCCACTTCAATGGTTTTTGTATTCTCTTTCTATGGTGTTTTTCGTTATTGTACTTTCCTTAATTTATTTTTATTCTCTTAGAAATAATAAAGATAACTTATCGATTTGGTGCTTACTGCTTCCTCAAATCCTTTTCCTGTCATGCATCTTCCTCTATTTGGTGATATTAATCTTTTTCAAATGGGTTGCGTATACGGCGGAAACGGCATCCTCTGCACCAAGTCTTCTTATTGGTAAGTTCTCAAATTTTTTCGGATAAAGTGCTCTACTATTATGTGGAAAGTTAATCATAATATCTGGAAAATATCACCACAAACAAAATAAGCATCGAGTTTTTCTTCATCCTAACTGATGCAATGATTATTGGTTGTTTGTTGCCGTCGTTTTTGTTACTATGTATAGTTAGCCTTTTTATGTTTTTGCTTGTGTAAGAAATCTTTTATCCTGTAGTTTAATCGATGTGTTAATGGTCTAATCTTCTGCTATTCATTGAAATCACGAACCGATCACTGTTCGACCACCATGGATATTCACTTGCTTATCATTCAAGATTTGATTTCTTCAGGTGGATCGTCTTACCGAATGCACTTTGATAACAAGAAATTCGATAGTCTTGTTGTTTCTCTACGGGTATTACATAGTGCTTTATTTTGATCTTTGTTCGGGATTTAATTTGTTTAGTTAAATTCGTTTAGATATGATACTTACAGTAATACATGATTGATTTAAAAACCAGTTTATTAGCATTTAGAGAAAATATGTGTGCCATCATGGAGTCTGATTGGTACTTTTGTTACGACTCTTATTGATTATACTGCGTACGGATAGTTTTACGTTCTGCATTAGCTTTTGACTCGTCATTCTTCATTTGGAATATCCGATCTTATTTTTAAAAAAATATTTCTATATCTTTTAAATTGTATTTTCTCAGGATTGATCAATATGATCCGTTTCAGTTATTCGGATGAAATTCCTCCTTTGTATTCTGGACAGGTTAGATTTCCGTTTTTTGTGATCTTGGGTTTAATTATTGAAAATATCGCTAACACTTTTAGTGGATCGTAACAACCAGTCGATAATGACTGATAATTCTGTTAGTTAACAATTTCATACCTAGTATTCAGTACCCGGTACATCATTATAGTTTACATCCCAGATATTCTCACATTTCATAAAAAGTACGTTTATGGAATTTGTGTTCATACGTAATTTAAATTACAGACCAAAGAAATTACCATTCACTAGTTTCACTACTGTGTTTGAAAACCTAGATGATGAGTTCCAAACAGCGCGAAGTTCTTACTTCGCTATTTGAGATACTATTATGAATGCCAGTTACTTTTAAATTGAACATCAGTTTACGCTCAATAACTAACTAGGGCGTTGAGTTGGATACCGAGAATTGCAGATTTAGAACAATGCCAATTTATAAACAGAGATAAATAGTAGTTGGTGGTGAGATTTAGGACTCGGGTTTCGTCCCTGCGTGGGACTCGTCAGCTGAGTGTACCTTCGTTTCAGTGTTGATGTTCACTCCCAGTGCTTGAACTCAGTCCCTTTCGCTTCAATTACTCATGTGTTTCACAATTAGTTACTGAGCCACTGGCTTATATAACATGAAAGAATTATAATTCATTTTTAAGGTTTCGAATCCTCCCATTTTTGCTTGAAAATGCTTTTAACTGACTGCAGTATGAAGGTAATCCGCTCGGCGTCCGTTTATGCCAAAAAAATACAGATCAATTGCAGTCTCTAACATCATCGGCAGGGAGGTTTAAACCCTTATAACCGAATGGTTATTTAGATGCTTGTTTCATCAAATCGTTTCATAAAAACATTCTTTCGCTGAGATTTTACAAATAATTTCTTCCTCTTTAATTACTTATTACATTTTATAATGAACCATGAAAAATAATATGGTCAAGACAATTACTTAAATATATATCTTTTTAGTAATGTATAATATTGTCTACCATAAACTCTCTATTAGTCACTGTACAGCTGAGATGTTATCAAAAATTGTATAATAAACCGTCTACATGAGTAAGACATAAAACGACAGGTTTGGCATTTCATTCATAAAGTATTTTTGTGTGTTAAGAACCGTGAAATTCATCCTTGATTTAATGGATATTAAAGCTGCCAAAGTTCCAAATAGAAAAAATGAAGAGCAAATTAATTAATAAATTTTTTGTGACTCATTTAATAGACCATTAATGTTGGATGAGTGTTGAATAAACTGTACAAACATGTAAAAATAAAATAATCAGTTAAATCAGATAACTTTAGATTGTGGAAATGTATGCATATGAAGAATGTCGGGTTATTTTATAATAAAGTGGTTGTTCTGTCATTTACCCACGTTTGACCTATTTGCAATGTTTAACTACTGATATGACTTTTGCTATCGTATTTTATTTTATTATTCTTACTACTATCAGTACACCTGTCTTCCTACTACTATAAACTTGTACTTTTACCTATTATGTGTGGTGACTTATTCTATTTCATTGTGTGATTATTGACCTGAATTACCTTGATTGGTTTAATATTTTCGTATAAATATTCATGTATATTAGATTAAAGTCTAATGATCTAATTGAAGGCAATTGTTCGCTTACATGTGTTGTTCTAATCTTAGATTGTTTAAATGTTGATCATGTAAACATGATTTTGTTCCTTTTTTTATCACTGTACGTTTTACTCTTAATTTTAGAAAGCTGTTCAAAGTATATTGATGGTTATTGCAGTTATATGTGTTCCTTGGATGTTGTTGTCTAAACCCTTAATTTTGTATATGCGTCATCGTGCCATCATGAAGGTAATTAAGTTTATCTGTTTTGTGTTAATCGTATTATCCACCTATCTATGTATAGTGGGAATCTTGATTGACTTATTTTGAAATTATAAGGATACGATTTTGTCTGCAAACATGTGTTTTTTTATTGTTATACTTTGTTAGAATAATTTCACCTTTTGGAATTTTATTTTTAATCTTTGTTTCTCATTCTCTATTTCCGCTGTATATGTTGACGACAGTGTTCACAGCATTTTCTTGAATCCGATTAAAACAACTATCAATAGGGAATCCGTTATTTTCTAATATCGTGTTGTAAATGGTTCAATTATCATCTAGTTACTTTCCTATCTACAAGACTGGTTTTATTTTGTTTTTGTTTTTTCATCTCAATCTTATGAATTCGGTTTTACTTTCATAGATCAAGTAGCGTGCGTGTATGTGACCTATAAATAAATAGTAATCCACCGATCTAGACCTTTCACATTAATTCATATCAGTATTCAACAAATTGACTACGTTTAATGTAGTGCTTATTTGCAAACTGATCAGTATTGTTTATTTATTATTCAGATTTTCAAAGTTGTGCGTTTGAGCGTGTTCACTGTATTTGTAGTTACTTTTTAAAACATATTCAGAATGTTTATGAAAAGAAAGTAATTATTACTTGAGAATTTCCAAGGAAAATACTTATTCAGTGGTTGTATATCATTAGGTAGGTACTAGTTTACTGATATTTTGCAGAGTATAGTACATTGTTCAATTTTTGTTAGGTTAAATTGGGCCTACTGAAAAATTTATTATACCAAGTATTATACATTAGCTTAATTATCAATTCTACGCTGTTTGAAATTTACTTTCATTGTAACTAATATGCATACGTTGTTTTTACCTTTGCTCTTTTTATTTTGTAAAACACTTAAACTTATTGTGTGAAAATAGAATAGACATTATGTGGATCCTGATGCAAGTGTGCATGTGGTCATTGGTGGTGTAACAAATCCAAATATGGATGATAGTTTCATTGGTGATAATAATGGTATTATGTACAGTGACATGTCTCCACTACATAGATCTTCATCTGAAAAACGTTCTAAGGTTTCATTAATTAGTCAAACAGATTCACCAAGTAGTCATGATGTTCATAAGGTGAGAATTTAAAAAAAAATACTTTTTTTCCTATTTCTTTACTAACTCTTTCATGTTTTTGCTATTTATTTAAAAAATTATTCAACGAAACAAATAAAAATTATCCGTTTATGAGGCTCGTGGCCCTGCCATTCACCCTGATGTTTCAACTAAATCATCCGAAAAAATAGCATTAGACGGTAATGGTCTTGGAGATGGAAGTGGTATAGGTTCGATGGATATGCCTGTGGAGTCTGTAAGTATCTTAACTGCGGTTCACTAACCGATAATAAGTGTTGTGTGTTCACGTTGTTGTCACTTTTGAATATATCCTCATTGTCGTGCATAAAATTTTCACTTGTATCTTATAGCCTGTATAACCTGTTGGTAATCTGATAAGTGGTTACCTTATTAGGAAACGAATACTTAACTTCTGTGTTTAAGTTTTTATTTAATCGATTCACGATTAAAATTTGTATGCCACCCTTTTTATATAATAAGAGCATGAAGTAAGCCACAGGCTAGTATATAACTAAGCTGACGAAGGGTTTTTCATGTAGTTGTTATTGTGTGTATCATTAACTTGAAATAACACCCTCCATTTTTGTTGTGTAACTATTGTATCTGTTGTCCTAAAATGTTATGTTTTTTATTTTAAATGAATGTATAACTATATGGGTATGTTGCATTTATTTCCATGTATTTCAGTTTGATTTCGGAGATATAATGGTTCATCAAAGCATTCACACGATTGAGTTTTGCTTAGGTTGCATTTCCAACACAGCTTCTTACCTTCGACTATGGGCTTTGAGTTTAGCACATGCGCGTAAGTGGTACATTTAAAATTTCCATTGTTATACATAGTCTTGTCTTTTTAGAACACTAACACTTTACTTTTTAAAGCTTATCTGAATGTTACCTCTTACCTTCGTTGCCTACCACTGCTCATGGTTATTGTGTATACTCTTTGTCATCCTACTTCCAAATTACCTTTACTCTCTCGTATTTGGAACCTGATATAATAATAGGTTACCAAGGATTCCTCGTAACAGTATATCCACCAAGACCCACTGTTTTTTTTTAACCTTCTGGTGTAAGCCATTGGTAGATATCACTACTGTTTTCACAGCTATTTGGTTATCGTGTAAACCTACATTTAGGTTAACGTAATTTTACTTCCATAGTTCCTTCTGAAATGTACTCTTGGCTTTTTCATTATAATAATAGACCTTAAGGGATCTCCCTGATGTGGATTTTTCGCATCATACAAGACACAGGGAAACATGTTCTCACTAGATCGTGATCATAGTCTAAATATTTGCTCCAGACCGAACAAAAGTCTTCTATCAAGCTGGTAGCCTATCTTTATGTGAATTTGGAGGGAGCTATGTCATAAGATATTTCTCTTTATGCTTAAGGTTGGTGCTTGTTAGGAATAAATAGTTTTCTCGGCAAACTTGCAGCCGACGATTGCCATTATATGTTCCCTGTTCGAAGACGCTGAGAGACTCACCTTATTATTTTTACAGGATGATCTACACTGGCTACTTCGGCATTATAATCAACCTTTACAATTATTTTTTGTATGCTTGGTTCCTTGAAGTTGATCAATATACTTGTCAAATTCATCCTTTTCTTCGTTCAAATTTCAGTCAGCGGAGCGTAGGCGAAAATTAAAAATCGCAAATAGTTTGTATCATTATTTTTACGAACCCCTGGTGTTTGATTTGATTTGATCGCACACATATGACTCGACTGAAAGCCAGTCCAGGGTTACCTGTCCTACTCTAAGACTTGACTTCATACTTGTGCGTGTTGTTCGAACATTAAAAGCTCCAATACGTAGTTTACAGCTCATTTGCAGTAAACTACAAATAACATTTCATAAGCATTGTTGGTTCATTGAGATAAAGGCGACCTTTTAGGAGAATTTTCGGATATGAAAGATAGAATAAATATTAAGTAACGGAGATATTGATCGTGAATAGGATTACCTAGAGTGCTGTTGGTGTGTTGGCAGTTATAACTACTCGGTTGCTCACATCGTGAAAGGATACTTCTTACGGTATCCGAAAAAGAGACTTGTTGATTTAGTTATGTGACTGTGTGTCCAAAAGACAACTGTTTAGTGCTAGGGACACGGCCTTTTGTTTAGCTACTTATGATTTTAATTCCATTCTTTTCAGACCTTATTGTTTGCTATGAAAATCTGTGAAAGAAGATGTATTAATTTATGATCATGCCTTTTCCAAACCATTTCGCTGTGGAAAGACAGGATTACCTGAGATATTAGTTGTTTAAGAGCAACTATTTGCTGTCGTCACATTCCAGCATAATCGGCAGCTTATTTTTACCCACAGACCTTAAATTTTCGGCTGTTTGTTTCCGGTATGGTAACGGTTACTTAGTGTTGTATTGATTCCGTTCCCTGTCCCGATACTTTCAGTTCTGTGGTAGAACATACATCAAAAATAGGGTTTCTATTTTATTACCTAATGAATAAGTAACAAAAGTACCTTTATTCTTAAATTTTTAAAGTTACTATATCCAAAGCTTGTTCAGTCATCTGATTTTCTTGTCGTCATTGCTAACCCCGTTGGGTTACACAATTCTTTCGGTATATCCGTTGTTTTGTTATAATTTGTGCACATGGTTCCATAATGATACCTTTAATTTCAACCTGATTTTATTTGGTAATGGTCTGTTCATCATACATTACTGCCAATTTGCACTCTTTTAAACAAGGAGTTAATTGTGTCCATCACCAGTCCTTGTTTGATTGTATTAAATGTAGCCGTTATTACGTTTTTCTGAAATCAGATATTTTGCCATTATATTTGTATCTATCTTCCTTTGTCTGTTTGGTTTAAGTTATTATTGCATTTTAAAAAAGTTCATTTTCAACTCCTCTTGCTCAGAATTATCGGAAGTCCTTTGGAGTATGGTTATGAGAATGGGTTTACGTATATCTGGTCTATATGGCGGTGTTGTGTTAGCATTTATTTTCGCATTCTGGGCTGTGCTAACCGTTAGTATTCTTTTGTGCATGGAAGGATTATCTGCTTTTCTCCATACACTTCGTCTCCACTGGTAAGTTCATTACTTTGTTTAGAGCTCTTGTTTATTATTTTTTCGTATAAACAGGTTTGTAATTATGACTGATATAAGTCCTCCAAATCTTGGTGATATTGAAAAGTTTATAGTTAGTCTAATACGATGAAGAGCGCCATTCTCTGGTCTATCAACTGTAGAGATCTGAAGGGAAGATGGTCTAAGTGTAACCACTAAGCCGACTAAGATCATATGTATTGTTTGGGGGCTGAACCTAATCCTATCTGACTAGTTTCACTCTCCTATTGTCCCAGTTTGAAGAAAGGACGAAAATCCACGTGTGATTAAAGAAAGAATCGGTTTGGCAGATACAATATCTGAAATATCATCTGTCATCATCTGACGTTTGAATAGAGCTCGTTAAGAATGAACTTAAAGAAATCAGACTGGTTTCGGACCTGGACATAGATTTATTGACTGAATATTCATTCCTCATCAGATTTCAGAACTTAAGCGTACTTACTGATATTCAACTATAATCGTATCGATTTACCCTTCAATACAGCCTTTAACCATGTTGATCGAAAGGTCCTGTGGCATTGTCTGTCATTGAATGACGTCTCAAAGAGTATACTTAAGTCGTATAAAGGTTCTCCACTCAGACAACATTAGTCAAATCAGCTGTTTGATTGAATTTAACGACATTGGAAGCTTGCTTGTGATTCCCTTCTTCTTCTTTAAATACAGAATTTTTCTTCACGCTTAATTTGCGTCAACTCTTGAACTAGTGATCATAGGTAAAGTAGTTGAGTAAGTGGATCACTTCACTTCTTTTAGAGGTCTCATCAGCTTTGGTGTATTGATATCAAATGAAATCTCTGCACGGATTCGGTAAGCTCGATTGACATTTGGTAGCATATGGAATAAGTGAAATATCCACCTTCCGGTCAAAGGACAATTATATTGGGCAGCAGTCTTCTCTGTGTTATTTCACTGGTGTGAAACATTGCTTTTAAAGTTAAAGACTTACGCAGGCTGCGGTTGCTTCTAAAGCATTGCTCACATTTCTTGGAATAACCAAGTAAACGATGTTGAGGTTAGTCATGGTATACTTGGGAAAGATGGCAGATTCGTTAATGTGATAGTGAATCTTTGTGTTTTGTATGTGCTACATATTTCCAACTACTTCTTGCCTCAACCAATGGTGTTTTCTGGTGTAGGTTGTAAGGAATCTAGGGTTGGCAAAAACAAAGACGTCAGTAGCTCATGAAGCTCGTTAGCAGTTATCCAGTATCATATTGATAAAACGAGTATACTGCGCAGCAGTTCGTTTTATTCTACTTTACAACTGCAAAACGTGGCTATTAAGAGTGGAAGATGCTCGTAAGTTGCTAGTATTTGGTCACAAATGTCTTAGAAATGTAGCTCGCATCTCCGGCTCCTCCATTTTTATCATTGTTACTACATTATTTTGATTTTTTTTTGTAATTGTTCTTGTTAGCCTTGTTTTGTCCTGTCATGTGGTATAACAGTTTGAGCCAACACAAATTTATCTCTGACTAATACATTGTTTAACACTGCTGACTATTCAACCTTATAGTCTGTACCAAGGTAATTGATGTGCCTAATATGTGATTCTAGAATAAACGCAAATAATCTGCAGTCACTATAATTATAATTATGTTAACCTGTACCCACTGTATTTTTTCTATTCTTTAAAAAAAAACATGAAGTAATCATTTTAGGGTACTGTTCGTAAAAATAAACTTTCTAGAACTATTTATCTTTTAACAGGGTGGAATTTCAAAATAAATTCTACAGTGGTGATGGTTATCCTTTCGTTCCATTCTCCTTCGAACATTCCAGCAGTGTAGTCGACAATTAAAATTAGATTTTATTATTTTGCTATGTTGTGTGTGTTCACTTAAATTTATCTTCATAAATGTCGTGATTATTCTTTTAAACTGCTATAATCATTTCATCTACTGGACAGTCCAGGTAATTTAATACTTATTACTTAATTATTTAACCCTTAAGTCATCATCTACTTAACCGATTTTATTATCCTTGATCATTATACATTGACTGGGTTCGTTTCATATTTATTAATTTTTATGTTGTTAGATCTACTAATAAAGCTGTTCAAATCCACTTTCACATTTTAAGATATTGCTTTATCACTGAGAGTTATTTTTTTGTTTTATTTGAACAAACTGTAGACCCAAAAAATGGTTAGCTCAATTCAGATTTAGGATGGTCCAGTCCATTATATACTAAATATACTCAATTTTAATTGTAACATTTTGATAATGAGCGTCCGGAAATTAACAGGTACAATTTCAAAGTCTCCAATACCTAGTCTTACTGATACGTGTTTGTTATACGTAGTGACTTTCGGGTGCTGTAACCTTCAGACTTTCAGAAACATAATAGAAACCAAGACAAGATAGTATCTAACTGTTTAGAGTCAAACTATGAATAAATCAAGTTCAAATATGTACCAAAAAATTATTAAGAAGGACGGTATTGATAATCGTAGTTTTCAGCTTGTTAGGTGCCTCTAATTTCTCTCGACAGAAAGAACGTTCTTTCCACAGCCAAATGCCCACAATCCATACGCAAATGGAAATTTTAATTGATCGAACAACAAACAAAAATGAAAAGCCCATATTAGCCATTTTGAACTGCTTGATTGTTAGAACTCACCAGTACGCCTACAAAACCGAATAACCTAGCTCAATATCTCCCAAAATAATTTTTTTGACAACACCTGTCTTACCCGTATATACTAAAAACCTCTTGGTGTACCCAACTGATATGCTATCTATTCTTCCTTATCTTCGATAGATGACAATGTAGTCGCGGTTCAAGTTAAGTAGCTGACTCTCCTTAGGATTCTTAATGAGATGAAAGCATTCGCTTCACGTCTTTTCGTCACTCGTTTTTTTCAGGCTCCTTACAACTCATTGAAGCTCGTCGGTCTACTTTGGGTGACCGTGAGTTTGATCATAAACAAAGGCTGTTACGTAATAAAATCGGGCAAAGCTTGCGTAAGGACTGAGAAACCTGGTGGTCGGAGCATGCTAATGAGTTGAAAGCAGCAGCTGCATCTAGTAACTACCGGAAGCTCTTCCAACTCATCCGAGCCACTGGCAGCAAGAAGTCTGGTGTGAGCGAAACAATATGCGAGGATGACGGGATGCTAGTCACTAGCACCCATCGACGTCTTGGACGATGGGCAGAATTTTTCGAAGGGCAATTCGAATGGTCTGTTGCTCCGACAACATCGGTCAGACTGTCCTGCCCTCCATGGCCGGTGACGACTGATTCACCAAATGAGGTGGAAATCTGCAGGGAACTCCAACTCTTGAAGCGCTACAGATCACCGGGCCCAGATGACTTACCTCCGGCTCTTTTTGAAGATGGTGGTGACATTCTGGTTAAGGAACTGACAACGTTGTTTACAAGAGTCGGGGAACTAGAGAGTGTACTAACGTGATGGAATGAGTCGATAGTTGTCCCTATCTTTAAAAAGGGTTCACGTCGTTCCTGTAACAACTATCGGGGGATAAGTCTACTTCCGATTGCGTCCAAGCTATTGGCTTCCGTCATACTTCGTAGGTTGTTCAAAACCCGAGAAAGATTGACTCGCGAGGAGCAGGGTGAGTTTCGTTCTGGTCGGGGATGTATTGATCACATCTTCACCCTCCGCCAAATGTTAGGACACCGTCATACTTATCACAGACCAACAATCGTGTTGTTTCTTGACACAAAGGCTGCCTTCGATTCGTTGGACAGCATTGTTCTCTGGGAATGTCTATTGAAGAAGGGTGTACCTGAGAAGTTCATTAACATCTTAAAGGCCCTATATACAAACACCTTTCTTCATTGTTCCACTCAAACAGTGGGGTTAGACAGGGTTTCCCAATCTCACCATTCCTCTTCAAGTTCGCCATCAATGACATTCTGTAAACAGCTCTGATGGATGTAAGTAATGGCGGTGTGGATATGTTGCCTGGCGAAAGACTTCTCGACCTTGAGTATGCAGATGGTATTGTCTTACTGTGCGATAATGCCCAAGCCATGCAATCCACACTTAATCAGTCAGCAATCAATGTCCGTAGGTACGGTATGTGCTTCGCACCTTCGAAGTGCAAAGTACTTCTACAAGACTGGCAGGATTCTAATCCTGTACTCACCCTGGATGGTGAGCAGATAGAAGTAGTCGAGAAGTTCGTGTATCTAGGTAGCTGCATAAGTGCTGGTGGTGGCGTGAGTGATGAGGTTGATTCACGTATAATGAAAGCCAGAGTGTCTTATGTCAATCTGGGCCACCTTTGGCGCCTTCGTGATGTCAGTTTGGCTGTAAAATGTCGGATCTACAACGCGTCGGTGAGAGCAGTTCTGCTCTATGCTTGTGAAACCTGGCCTCTCCGGGTTGAGGATGTTAGACGACTCTCTGTGTTTGATCATCGTTGTCTCTGAAGGATTGCTGACATCCAGTGGCAATACTATGTTAGTAATGCAGAGGTTCGGCATCGTGTGTTCGGGCGCAGAGACGATAATCCAATTGGTGTCACCATCTTGAAACACCGACTTCGGTGGCTTGGACATGTTCTACGAATGTCGTCCCAGAGAATTCCACGTTGTGGATTGTTTGCCGACGCTGGGACTGGTTGGAAAAAACGGAGAGGTGGTCAGTGTGCGACATGGTGTCGGGGTATGAAAGAAAGCTGCAAAGAACTGACTTCTGTTGGTCCTTCACGACTCCCAGGCCAGTTTTCGACCTGGACGTGGTTGTATCGATCAGATATTCACACTACGTCAGGTTCTAGAACACAGACACACATTCAGACGCCCCACAATGGTAGTATTTCTCGACCTTAAGGCGGCATTCGACTCTGTTGATCGTGAGGTTCTATGACAGTGTTTGTCACTGAAAGGAGTACCAAAGAAGTACATTTACCTTATAAAGGCTCTCTACTCGAACACAACTGGTAGAGTGAGAGCTTATGGCGAACTATCATCAGAATTGATTACCTCAAGTGGTGTTCGTCAGGGCTGTCCACTCTCCCCATTCTTGTTCACCTTTGCGGTCGACGTACTTTCGTTGTGTATAGAAACATAGTGGTCTCTGACAAAATTATTTTTAATAAAATATACACCTACCCTAATCTTCGAAGGATTCCCTATAACTTGTTGATTTCACGAGTATTGTAAGCCCCAAATGAAGGATTGATTCCATAGCGATCTACATAGACCATGATAATAATTTTTCTCCAATAACAGTTTGTTACATGAGGCATGCCAGTTTACAGGCAAGATCGTGCCGTGGTCGTGCGTGCATAAATGGATGTAGAAATCCATACACTTTATGCGACCACATGTTTCCCTATCATCTTACGGATAACGTCACTTTCCTAACCTTTTTAATCTGTGTATCGCATAACATTTAGGTTGTGTCGAATTTTGATTTATTTAGAACTTTTCGTGCGCGATGAAATCTATATAGAAGTTATGTGTAATATTTTACAACTTTAGTAAATGCACTTTGTAATATATATGTAACTTCAGATGCATAAAACCATGGTGACGTTCCTAACAGCAATTGAAATATATAAGAAAAATGAGATTGATTTCTATGTTTGTTTGAGAGTGTCTGCGTCATGAACATGGACACAATCATTCGAAAAACCCGTTCAGCGTTCTGATAACTGGTAAACATCGGTAAATTCAGTTCTTCCCTTGATCAAGTTATGCTTTGTTTAAACCTGTTAAAAACCTCCCATCCGACCTCAGTTTAGTTTAGTTGTTAACACCGCCGTAAAAAACTAACATAAATGCACCAGTCGCAGATATGGATGCTTGTTAGCAGTGCAGTCCGAATCGCCCTGTATGGGACTCGTCCGCTCGATATACTTGTAGATCACTAACTAGCTGATCTGTGCTGAATGATTGGGTCTTGACAGCTGACGTCGAAATCGCACCTCGTGATCAGCCATTAACGTGGATTATCCCTTCGTCGTATCAAGGTGCTATAGATGCTTTGAAGATCATACAAAAAAGGACGTTATTACGGAAATATATCAGTATGAATAAGTATAGAGAAGATAGTGGGAGCATCAACCCATGGGCCAGTCAATGACATACGATCAAGTTATGCGCGCTGATTATCCTAGACCTTGACGAGGATCGATGATCTGTTCGTTATTCAATGACTCAACTGCCGGATGATTTGGCTATGGCTCGGTGACATTTCGCCGGCCCTTCCCAGTTTTGGCAAGTCACTCCGGTACTTCAACCCAATAACGTTCCCTTGAAAAGCCATATCATTAACCACTGAGCTACTAAGTTCAGGCAGCCCCTGGCCTTTGCAAAGTGGTGTATTTCTGTTCTTTGATATTGGTTGTTGAAATATACTTTTTGATGTTTTGTACTGTCATTGATCAGTCCATCCTATCCAACATATATCCTGTGTCACTATTCATCTCTACTTATAATACTTGCGGCTTAAGGCAAGTTCGAGGTAATTCGCATTGGAGACATGAATGCCAAAAGCGACAAATCAAGTGCAGCCATAAGTATCAATAGTAAGATTCAAATAATCAATTTAAATGAAGAAATACATTGGATTCGATGGAAGTATTTATTTGAATTTGATTATTAAACGTTTTCACTCAGTAAGTGGTTGTGCAGTGTCCTATTCATTCTTTTATTCCGCTTAAGTTATAGTGGCCACTTATTATTGTGAATTCTTTGTCGTGGCTGACAACCAATCTGCCTATTGGCCATCACCACGACCGTTCCCAATATAATGGTCATGCTTTACGAGTAAGACGTCTCCTTCTATTGTAGTAGAGAATCCTCTAGAATGTTCTTTTGGTCAAGCCAATCATAAGCACTAGCTCGCAATACATGTTTGCTATCATTTTAGTGTTTATGGGCTACATCAAACACAATTCTAGACTAATAAAAAAATTCCAGCCCGTGTTCAGGAACAAGCAAGTTTCTAGGCTCTATCCTTATTTCGTAACATGGAGTTAACTTTACTCCCATAGCCACCTCATATTAAAGAGATTCTCTAGGGAATATAGTGTTAGTGGTGAACGACTAGGTGGTCTGTCGCCGTCGCGCGATGTTCTACAATTTTACTGAGGCGCTAACACAAGGCGTGTTAGTCTATTTGGTGTCGTAAGGAAAATCATTTGGGTAAATAGCTTGTCTGAGTTTGTTTTGGATTATTTCAGGAATTCTGAAAGCTAGTTTTTCAAATGTAATAATCATTTCTTTCAGGGAGTATCAGAAATTGTTTAGATGGTTTTATTCATTTGTGAAGTTCATCTGTAGGTTGTGAACAGTAAACAATGTTTATACGAATATTCATCAAGATTAGAACGAATAGTTTGACAGTAATTGAGCTGCGAGTATAGAGAAGTCATTATATCTGAAAATTATATTTGAAATATTCTTAGCGATTGAAATTTAAATAATTTCAACGTTTCGTCCAGCTAACTTGTCTGGACTTCAGAGTAACAATCAAAATTATTAAAGAAATATATAGTTTTTAAACAATTAGGATAATACTGCTTAACCAATCATATTTGGACGTTGATTTTTTGTAAAATAGGATTAAATGAATCAGTTAACTACAAATCATGCCTTTGGTAATTTTGATTTTGACTATCACTTTGAAGAAGTTCAGACAAGTTAGCTGGACGAAACGTTGGGATTGTTTAAATTTCAATCGCTGAGAATATCTCAAATATAATTTTCACATATAGTAAACAATGTGTTCAAAACCACCAAAACATTGACATAAAGTGAAGTCCAAACTTTGTTTTTTCATAACCAACAATCGGTTTAATAATGGATATCACTCCGTTTTATGGGGTCAGACTCTGGTTATGTGATCCTTTGTAATTTTTATTCAAACGTAAATGGAGAACATGTAGTGGTTGTGCTGGACATTGAGTTTTATTGAACAAGGAGATTAATAGACGTAATCTCACCAATCTAACCACATCGTAGTTATTCATTTGGTGTGAACTGAGTCGAAATTCGTTCATAATGCTTAAGCAATCGCTGGAAGGACTACTGCTATTTAATTTCATTGTACAGTTCTTTTACTTTGGAAATAGTTTTCCAGTTGCTATTCGATTCAAACTTTTAATATTGATAGATTTCACGAGTTTGTAATATTATATTAGTATCCTATCTAATAAATACTTGTGCAGTAATGTTGATTTTCTTCGAAAATTTGTAGGGTATTCGTGGACACAATTTGTTCTACGGTAGATACTGAATTCGAAATGTCACTTTGTAATCAATAAAAAAATATAAAGAACTTGTTTTGGGTAAATAACATTGCCCTGTGAGACAGAAAATAATGTCTGAATAATTTTTTGAAGTAAATATGAGAGTGGACATTGTTCTTTTCCTGTGACAAGAGACTCTAGGTACTGGAAAACATTTTCGTGAAACGACCACAAACTTTTAATGAGTTTATATTGTACTTCTATTAGTTGAAGTCGTTTACGTTGCTTTTAATTAGTCCAGACCGAGCAGATGAAGCGTGGTATAGCTTGGTGATATGCGGACTGTGAAACCAATTGTACTCAGCAACATATAATTATATCGGAGTATTTGCACGTCAGTGTGCAAACATTTTTGTTTCGTTTTGAGATGAAAACATAGCATTGAAATCATTTGTGTGTTGTGAAAAAGAAATACATGAACGGAACCTAATCTTGACATCATTGGAGCTAAGCAGTTCCGAAATAATTTACGGAATAGAAGTAAAGTTGCGGCGTAGTATTTGTAAATTGTTTTGCAGAATTGGTAAATAGAAGATGGGGTATGTTGTTTCAAACCACATATCAAAACCTAGGTGAATGTGTGATGAAGCGAGATACTCGCGCGTTCGGGAAAAATTTAGAAATCCTAAGATGTATTACAAAGAAATTTTTCTCTATAGTTGTTAGTTGAACAGTCAGCCATATCAATGGAACAATAGTTTGATAATCGATTTATTGAATACTTTCTCACACTCAGCCTATTGGAAGGATAACATGTTAGATGCTCGATACGCATAGGGCCATGTGGTCTAATGATCCTTCTGTGCTTGTTGACTGCTTGATTTGGAATTCCGAATACAATACTTCTGTTTGTGCTCATCTAATACTTCTTCGTTAAACTGCGTTATTTCTTGGATTCTTAGATTATTCTATAATTCAGGTACTCCCAATAATCACAGGCCACCAAAATGTGGAAACTTGGGGCCATAGACATTGATACTGAAACCACTTCAGCACGTCTCATGACAGGCGGTTATGAAGGATGAAACATGTCATAAATATTCTATTCCTGACAACGTTGTCGTCTACAACATATTGATAATAGAGGATCCGAAACACAGTCAAATAAGAAGTCAAGAATGAAGGAGTTCGAAGACTCATTTGCAATATAAGCGTGTTATCGAGATGTAAGAGATTTACTAGTTGCAAGTGTTGCATAACACAAAATCTTTGATTGTGTCCCATAAAACTAATGAGGTTAGCATTAGTACAAAACTATCCGTATCAGGAATTTACCGCCACATTTATCACGCGACTCTTCTCGGACAGCTTTCGGTGTACTTATTTGCTAGAAGCGATTATTATTTTAAAACCGTCTTCGTAGACCTAATACTTTTGGTGGCTCAAGGTCGACTCTCTTGATGATAGGCAATGACAAGACAAAGACAAAAAGCAATTTCTTTGGTAATTATTTTATTCGTTAGCTTATTGTAGACTTGAAATATCTTCAGAAGATTTACAGTAAGTACATTACTTGTAAAAAATTAGATGCACATAAAAGCATCGGGTTTTTTTATTCGCTTGGAAGTGCCGGATAAGCTACATACCTGACTGATGGACGTTACTGTCCACGCCAACAAAATACTGAATTTCACCACTAGCCGTTGTCTGTTCACGAAAAGACATGCACCTTGAAGGAGGCACTTCGTTTTCTACAAATTTATCTCTCTGTTAAAACCATGTAAGTAACAAGCTGAACCAATTAGAAAAGCTATGGCACAAACTTTCTTTTAAGCTGTGGAGACGATATAGTGAAAACAATCATCGTAATAGGACCCCTCTGATATACTGCTTTGCATATGAATATGGTATTGTAGTTGAAGAAATACAGGTTAAAAGTCACCCTGATGGATTCATGGGTGAATTGATCAAGTGGATACAGTTTAACTTCATATACTTTATGTCGTTTAAACTTGAGACTATCAACAAAAGCACAAATATGCCTTTCTGAAGATTGGTTTTATGGCGTTTTTTAAGAAATTTTTGTCAAGGACGAAGACCAACCGACTACGAAAGCGTAATTTTGTGGACTAATTGTGTAGAAGTACATTTATCTTTGTTACTATAATAATACACTTGGTCCCAAAAGTGCAGATATGTTGTGATGCGACCACCCAATCTATAAAACCTTTATTAGAAGTCATATCATGGTCTACACTGACTTGTCCTATCATGACAACCAGCAATAATACGTCTAGTACTTTTGAAGAACAAATCGGGCTGGGTAGAGTGTAATGTGTTCAAAACTGTTATGACCTTGAGTCGCTTTTACCCCGTGATACTTGTTATGACTTGACCTTGATCTGTCTAGTCTAAATTATGACCTTGACGCGTTAGGTTGAGTGGCTTAACCTTGAGTCTAATACGCGTGAGTTCGAGATGGTGTAGAGAGAACTATTCTAAATCCTGATTGGTTGGCAAGCACGCAAGTGAAAGAAGACAAGACAGTTGGAACACTAAACTCTGGTTTCTCTGAATTCAGATTACTACAAAAATGTACATGAATAAATAAGTGAATATCTTGACCACGACGTATGATAATTTGGAAAAATACAGTTATGCCCGAAACAGGGAATTAGGGTAGAAAATGAAGTGCAAAATATTATGTTTAAATTACAATATTTTCGGAACAAAAAAGGGTATGCTAGTGAATGATACATAGAACGAAAGCTCGTGTTATGTAGAATAAGATAGGGACAAAAATAAATATAAGTGTTTTACAGGGTTTGAATGAAATGCGATAACGTCCCAAGAAAATAGCTTTCGTAATTGTCTGAGCTTCTTAATTCCCCGTTCACAACAAAAACACAAAGCAATATGTTATGCAGAGTGACAACGCCTGCATGACCGAGTCATGTCATTTCGGCTCATCTTTGCCATATTCAGCATTCTTGATCCTCTCAAAGTGTTGCGTGTTCAATTTAAATCATCTCAGCAATTATATACCAAGTTTCAAAGACTGTATGTTTAGGAACCAATAACATTAGAAAAAAAATTATTTTAGTTCAAACCTGATGCTGGCAAGTACGGTAAAATCTTCAGTCGTGTAGTTGAAACGTTTCCTACGACACTACGTTCAAATAATAACAAGGCTCCTGAGATGTGAGACAATTTCAGTAGATCCGACAGTAGTTTAAGTTGTAGCGTGGTGTCGAGTTGAGATTAACTATGAACACCGCTACCAAGAAACAGTGCGAAATAAATCAGAAGGCGTAGGTTGAACGTAACCAAAGAAACCCATAAAATCTCCGAGAAGCCAAATATCAGAAGGCAATTAATGGACCATATCGAGATATATATTTGCTGGCGATCTCGTGGTATCGAAAGGATACCGAGATCGTGCCAGGATACAAGCTTGGTTACAGAACGTAACCGAATTCGCGCGAAGTCACAATCAAAGTGTAAGAATAAGAATGGAAGCACAAAATAGCTGTCATTAGCACAGTCAAACAAAAGCACATTAAAACAAACACTGGTAGAGTTGGTTATAATAATAATTGCTTTTAATAAACCAGTCGTGTTCTCGTGATAAATGTGAGTAACTACAAAGTTTTGATTTGTTTATGATGTACAGGAAACTCATAAATAATTTTAAACCGAGCTAGTCTTTTTCATTCTTTCAACTCATGTTAGAAAAACCTGTAAGATGCAGGAGACAAACTCAAATGCTTAAAGTCACTAATAACCTCTTGTAGTATAAGTTTACACACTGTATAATTAACACTTGAAATATAATACAGGAAGTTTGTCTGCATTTTCAACTACTTCATTTTGGTAAAGTGGAATCCAAGAAAATAAAAAATATGATGGTTTTCTATTCAAAGCCTAGATCTTTGTGGATATTGTTTTGATACACCAATAATGACAGCGGCTTTTCGAACCTCTCTGTTTGCTTTTAAGGTTGGTCGAAAATGGGTCAGCTGCACAAGTTAGATAATAGGATACAGATAATGCTTAAAAATGGCATTCTTCGGAAACATAGGTCGATGTTTGTCATGGTTGGGAACAAAGGCCAGGATCAGGTAGCCAAAATTAAATAAAATAATTAAATGTAATCATCGGTATGTAGGTCCCCATAATGCACCAAATTTTAAATTCTCTCTCAAGTAAAGGACGGCTCAGCATTTTGTGGTGCTACAAAAAGGAGTTGAGTTTTAGCACGTAAGCTTCATTTTTCATTGTCATGTTCTTAGTCACCGCAAGAAGAACCTCAAACTTTTGAAGTAGGTTGTCTACGAATAAATCCTAATGTGTTTAGCAAAAGGCGGAAAGCAGGGTTGACATCTGATGCTACAGTTTTTGAGCAATTTGTATGCTCGACAGATATACGTTGGTGCTATTACGACGAGTCACATAAAATTCTTGGACAAACATTCGATATGTGTGTGCTTCAAGATTTCGAAGCTCTGACACCAAACTTACTTGCTCGGACTATTGAAACTGTTTCTGGTGGAGGTCTCATAGTTTTTTTGTTAAAATCTATGACTTCTTTACAACAGCTTTGCACTATGGCTATGGTATGGTGTTCTTCGTTCTATACTTAATTTTTCAGGATATCCATTCTCGATATCGCACTGAATCCCAGCACAATGTTGTCGGTCGATTTAACGAAAGGTTTTTGTTATCATTGGCTAGTAACCCTCGATGTCTTGTATTAGACGATCGATGGAATATCCTACCATTGTCCCGGAAAGTTCTCAATTCACTAACGTCATTGAAGGCTGATATTAGTGATGAGTCTATTCTTCTAGAACAGAAGGAACTCCAAAAGCTTAAAGTAATGTCATTAAAGTAAAAATGCCACTTTATAATGATCAGATCGTGAATAGTGACATTCAGTATTCTTTAAATTCATATTTTCGACTATTTACTTCATTTTATATGCAATATTAATTTTCATTATTCCAATATTATTTATATTTTTATTTGAACACAAATATTGGTACAAGAGGACACCAAATATGTATGCGCCACACATTTTTATTATCGTTATATTTGTGTGTGGGCTGTGATACTGCCCGGGTGCCCAGACCGAAGCAGGATTATTCCAGTAAGTTATAACCCACAACGTAGTACAACACCCATTCTAGTTTACACGCAATCTTTCAATCAGTCAGGTATCTGTCCAGTGCTTGGCACATATTGATTTCGTAGGACAGAAAAACTATAGTAATGACTTGTTTAATAATCACTTGTACAGTTCTTTAATCGTTATTTAGAACTTGTTCAGATGATTACTTGGTTTTATTCACTGTCATGGGATTCTTTTGAGTCTAGTTATAGTGCCGTACGTATATAAATGTAACCCGTTTGCACGATATTGTGAATTGCAAGTTACCCAAAATAATGCAGTAGCAATCATGAAAAGAAGGGCTGAATCTTAGGAATATGGTTTTAAACGACAGAGTGGGAAGTTATACGCAGAAGATTGCTTAGATTCAAAACTGAAAAGATATACAATTAACAAATTTATGCTGATGTGGACGATTCCGAGCCATGTCAGCTAAGGTCTTAAAACATTGGTTGAGTTTACCACATTGATCTCAACCGAGTAGTCGGGATCTACTGGTAGTGAACAGCAAATTCATTGTTGATATTTATCTGAAAGATGTACTGAGCGTGAAAAACAGGTTATTACCTACTATTTCGATTGCAATAAGCACTATTAAAATGTTAGAATTTCGAATACCTGTCTATTCGGTATATGGAATGATGACTCAGGTGACTAGATAATCTATTGTTCCATCTTAGATTCTACAACCAAGCGACAATAAAAACTGGAGAAATCACGGCATGTTTTATCAAAGAAATGGAATACGTAATATGTAAACAAACGGTCCTAAATTACATAACATATGGTCGGTTCCTGTCCAATGACATCTTAGAATTATATGACTTTAGAATCCCCAATATTTTCTGTTTTTCTATGTACTATACAATCAACATGTAATCGAATTATATTCGAAATGCACAAATTCATGAAGTCACTGACAAGTGGACTGAGCCATGTTGGTTTATTTATTTGAACACAAATATTGGTACAAGGGGGCACCAAATATATATGCACCACACAAAACAATGAGAATGGGAAGAGAAAAAGAAGGTATGGTGCGTATAAGGAAAAAAAGAACAATAACGACTATAGATTAGTGTAAGTTAGTGTAATAATAATAATAATAATAATAATAAGGTACAACCAGAATCCTTTCAGTTAAGGAAGATACAACCACTTTTTATGAAGAAAGTAAAAGAAGGTTACAGCAGGATCGCCATTGGCTTCTACTATGAGCCATATCTGATAACGTCTCTAGCCACTGTGTCTCACCATCTCTCGGACCCCAGCCAGGCAGTCGTGAAGGACCAACAGAAGTCAGTTCTTTGCAGCTTTCTTTCATACCCCGACACCATGTCGCACACTGACCACCTCTCCGTTTTTTCCAACCAGTCCCAGCGTCGGCAAACAATCCACAACGTGGAATTCTCTGGGACGACATTCGTAGAACATGTCCAAGCCACCGAAGTCGGTGTTTCAAGATGGTGACACCAATTGGATTATCGTCTCTGCGCCCGAACACACGATGCCGAACCTCTGCATTACTAACATAGTGTTGCCACTGGATGTCAGCAATCCTTCAGAGACAACGATGATCAAACACAGAGAGTCGTCTAACATCCTCAACCCGGAGAGGCCAGGTTTCACAAGCATAGAGCAGAACTGCTCTCACCGACGCGTTGTAGATCCGACATTTTACAGCCAAACTGACATCACGAAGGCGCCAAAGGTGGCCCAGATTGACATAAGACACTCTGGCTTTCATTATACGTGAATCAACCTCATCACTCACGCCACCACCAGCACTTATGCAGCTACCTAGATACACGAACTTCTCGACTACTTCTATCTGCTCACCATCCAGGGTGAGTACAGGATTAGAATCCTGCCAGTCTTGTAGAAGTACTTTGCACTTCGAAGGTGCGAAGCACATACCGTACCTACGGACATTGATTGCTGACTGATTAAGTGTGGATTGCATGGCTTGGGCATTATCGCACAGTAAGACAATACCATCTGCATACTCAAGGTCGAGAAGTCTTTCGCCAGGCAACATATCCACACCGCCATTACTTACATCCATCAGAGCTGTTTACAGAATGTCATTGATGGCGAACTTGAAGAGGAATGGTGAGATTGGGAAACCCTGTCTAACCCCACTGTTTGAGTGGAACAATGAAGAAAGGTGTTTGTATATAGGGCCTTTAAGATGTTAATGAACTTCTCAGGTACACCCTTCTTCAATAGACATTCCCAGAGAACAATGCTGTCCAACGAATCGAAGGCAGCCTTTGTGTCAAGAAACAACACGATTGTTGGTCTGTGATAAGTATGACGGTGTCCTAACATTTGGCGGAGGGTGAAGCTGTGATCAATACATCCCCGACCAGAACGAAACTCACCCTGCTCCTCGCGAGTCAATCTTTCTCGGGTTTTGAACAACCTACGAAGTATGACGGAAGCCAATAGCTTGGACGCAATCGGAAGTAGACTTATCCCCCGATAGTTGTTACAGGAACGACGTGAACCCTTTTTAAAGATAGGGACAACTATCGACTCATTCCATCACGTTAGTACACTCTCTAGTTCCCCGACTCTTGTAAACAACGTTGTCAGTTCCTTAACCAGAATGTCACCACCATCTTCAAAAAGAGCCGGAGGTAAGTCATCTGGGCCCGGTGATCTGTAGCGCTTCAAGAGTTGGAGTTCCCTGCAGATTTCCACCTCATTTGGTGAATCAGTCGTCACCGGCCATGGAGGGCAGGACAGTCTGACCGATGTTGTCGGAGCAACAGACCATTCGAATTGCCCTTCGAAAAATTCTGCCCATCGTCCAAGACGTCGATGGGTGCTAGTGACTAGCATCCCGTCATCCTCGCATATTGTTTCGCTCACACCAGACTTCTTGCTGCCAGTGGCTCGGATGAGTTGGAAGAGCTTCCGGTAGTTACTAGATGCAGCTGCTGCTTTCAACTCATTAGCATGCTCCGACCACCAGGTTTCTCAGTCCTTACGCAAGCTTTGCCCGATTTTATTACGTAACAGCCTTTGTTTATGATCAAACTCACGGTCACCCAAAGTAGACCGACGAGCTTCAATGAGTTGTAAGGAGCCTGAAGAAACCCAGTGCTCCAGTACCCTGAGGGAACAAATGGCGTATAAACCAATTGTTGGTCACCAGCTACCAGGGGACTGCATCTCCTCACGATGCTCCACTGCCTTGTGGGTCAGACCTTTAGGTCAAAGGCTCGGGGTGTGACTCTAAGAAAACCGCTTGCTTCGATGTGGGTACCCGGGCAGTATCACAGCTCACACACAAATAAAATGAAAATGACGACATTTACTGAAAATTCTGTTCATGTCATGTTGGTATGTGTAGGCTCCCTGTTTGGGATCCGCGAGACGATAGCATCTGATGATTTGGCACCTTGAATTACATGGCTCAAAATCGTTAGCCATCGCGCATGTGCATCCACCAGTTGTGTTCTCCCAAATTCTAATCTGAATTCTTCATTCCCCTTTTTTCTCTTTCCAAATTTATTTCACTGGATTATACTCCTTGAATAACATCTTCAAACCCTGATCTTTCTGATTACTGCTTATACTTTTACCACCTCTACCACTACGGGATTTGAATCGACAATTGTATTTGTGTGTTAATGTGGTATGGCAACTCGGAACGATGTACGTACGTACGAAGTTCTACGTTGTTACTGACTGACTGACTCCAAATGTTGTTGGTTATGATTTTAGGTTTATTCGTATTAACTTATCAACTCTAAGCAACTGTACAATAGATTCATTAATGCATTAGATTGTCTATTCCTTTCCTTGTATGTCTTTCAATTTTCTTAGCTTCTCTTATTCATTTGAAATGATTTTAAATGAAAAGCTTAACTAAACATACAGTGGTTGGTTTGCGACTGTTACGAGTTCTACGTTATTCATGAACATAGTATAGTCTATCTACGTATTTTGGAATGGTTGATATAGGTGCATCATTTCAAAGTTTTTTCCCCATGATTTCTGTTATTTGTTTCCAGGTCTCCTTAGCTGAAGATGGCTCACCATTTGCTCCTTTAATAAAGTTGTGTATCACATTTGACCAGGCTAAAAGTCTTGTCCAATTCTGTGCTTCTTTGGCTTCATCTTCGCAGTTACAAAATAAGGGCTGCAATAAAAATACTCAGGATACCACCTCCCTGGCTACGGCAAACTCTCTTCTTTCTTCGATCGGAGCTGGAACTAAGGAAACTAGTAGCTCATCAGCCTTTGTTGTTGTAACCGCCGGTAGAGGCCGGGGTAAATCTGCAGCATTGGGACTTGGATTAGCTGCTGCTTTTGAAACTGGTTTGCCTAACTTGTATGTTACTGCACCCAGTCCGGAAAACCTAAATACACTTATGCAGTTTGTTGTAAACGGTTTAAATGCTTTTCAGTATGAAGAGCACCAGGATTATATTGTTAGTCGCTCAATGAATCCTGAACACAATCAAGCTACAGTTAGAATCGACGTTTACAGACGAAGCCACAGACAATCTCTTATCTATTTACCACCATGGGAAATGGCTGCCCTATCGAGTGTCAAACAAGCAGATCTAGTATGTATAGACGAAGCTGCTGCCATTCCACTACCTCTCGTACAATCCATTATCAGTGGTCCAAGAATTGTATTTATGGCATCTACTATTAATGGTTACGAAGGCACTGGTCGATCTTTATCCTTTAAACTACTGCGTCAACTGCGATCACAATGCACCATATCAGGAACTACAACAAAGTTGTCAACAGATGATGTAAAATCTAAGTCTGTTCAGTCGACGGGGAAAGACAAGATGTTATTGGGGAAAGGTTTTCGATCAGGTAAAATTTTTAAAGTATTGTTGTAATTCAACCCAGGTAATCGTTGCATGTTTATTTTATTCGTAAAAATCCTTAACGACTAATGAGACTGAAATGGTATTCAGCACTGTATATTAATCAGTACAACTCAAAATTATCATCCCCTCAAAGTGATTTATCGTTTTGGATTACTAAACTATGAAGTAGTAAAATTGAGGCAACTGAAAAGGCTGTTGATAGCCAGAAAAAATGCGGAAGAAGGTGTTCGACTTGGATTTGAAGATTTCGATTACTTAGCTGGGTGGGTAATCAAATAGTTTGCTATCAAATGAATAGATTGCATAACCTGTAATCAATACTTCAACGATAATCTTAGTCGCGATAGATGAGTTAAAGGACTTGTGGAGAGAATGTATTGACAACGGCTCCAGATACACTTTGTATTGTTTTTCAATAGTTTGTTTTGTCTGTAAATGGATGTTTTGGACATATTCCCTCTGTTATTTATTCGAAATTCTGCAGAGTACACAAAGTTTACTAAAGAGTCATCTGTCTAACTTCTCTTGTTGACAACCATTTATGTCTTCAGAGTGATTTGAAACTTAGATAAACCAATCACGTTTATGTATGTGCTTACTTTACACATTCGTCTTAATTTCGAATACCCCTCCTTATCCCTTAGTTATCACCAGTGACTTTGTTCCAATAGCTATAATATCGTATCATTCTTCGTTTAGGTTACTTACTTACGCCTGTCAACCCTCTTAGAGCAGCATAGGCTGTCCACCAGCACTCTCCATCCAAACTTGTCCTCGGTAATCCTTTCCAATTGCTAGTCATATTTTTCATATCTGCTGCCGATTCTATACACGGTGTGTTCTTTGGCCTTCCTCTTTTCCGCTTCCCTTCAGGATTCCAAGTTAGCGCTTGTCTCGTGATGCAGTTTGATGATTTCCGCAATCTATGTCTTATCCACTTCCAACGCCTTTTCCAAATTTCCCCTTCAGTTGGGAGCTGGTTTGTTCTCTCCCAAAGTAAGCTGTTGCTAATGGTATCCGGTCAACGAACGAAGAATATCATGTGTAGAAAATTGTTTATAAGTGTTTGTACATTTTTGATGATGATAGTAGTAATCCTCAAAGTTTCAGCTCCCTAGAGTAGAACTGTCTCGACTTTCGTTTAAAGAATCTGACTGATATTGGTTGACAATTGTTTTGAGTTCCATACGTTCTTCAACTGTAGGAATGCTGTCCTTGCTTTGCCAATCCTCTCCTTTATGTCTGCATCCGAACCTCCTGGTTCATCGGTAATGCTGTCCAGGTACGTGAAAGTTTCCGCTTCTTCCAGAGCTTCTCCATCAAGTGTGACTGGTTTGGTGTTCTCCTTGTTGTATTTGAGTATCTTGGTTTTTCCTCTGTGTATGTTGAGGTCTACTGATGCAGAGGCTTCCGTTACAGTGGTTGTCTTGGCCTGGATTTGTTAGTGTTTATGAGATAGAAGGGCTAGGTGATCTGCGAAGCCTAAATCGTCGAGTTACATGCAAGCTGTCTATTGTGTTCCGTCTTCGTTCTGATGAGATTATAATAATCTAGTGCCTAACGTGGTTACTAACCTCATTGATCTGAATTCGTGATATACTTTGTTAGGTCTTATGTAGTTGAGGGTAGTTGTAAGAAAATCCCAAGTGGTTTTCTCTAGCTATCCTCTCTATGTTTAATTAATTCCTTTACTCATTACCCTAACGGTTTTACTAATTTTTGTTAATCCTTTTTACCGTCGTCAAGTATGTCCGCATAGTGACATACTTCATAGCATGCTTTGTTTTGTCGAATGCTAGATTAATTCAGTATTTAGGTATTGCAGTCGATTGATAAGTGTTTTGTTGTTAATTAATTTAGTGGCTGCTCTTACATTGTATTTTAAGTTATTTGAGAGTCACTATCTTATTCACTTACATAACCCATTCAACGATATAACTTTTGAAATTGGCCTCATCTACAAAAATGAAAAAACAACCATTTTTTATGATAAGCTTTAAGCAGATAATCTTTGCCAACCAAGATTTTAGGTGATTGATTTATTAGCAGTTTGGATAATGTGATGACAAGACGAAGATTATCAGTATTATGCGATATATTTCGAACAATCTGATCACACCTATACTTGTTAAGGCATTGTATGCGAAAAATCTAAAGTCAACTAAACAAATTAGAAGATAAACGGAAACAGAAATAATAGTAAAGTACACAGTATAAAAACTAAGCAGAATAATGGATCAGTATTACCAGAGTAGAAACAAATTATATATATATATATATAATGGGGTTCAGTTTTTGTATAGCCAAGGCTTGAATAAACCTTAGTATACGCCCTTAAAAACTCTTGTACAAACTACAAAGGATGACTTGATATCAACCTTTGGCATTGCCGAAATATATCACAATTCTGTTAACGTTCGTCTTCTCATTGCATTATCCAAATTTATCAGATGGATTACCCATTCTAAATTTTATTATCAACAGTTGGGAATTTCATACTCGGTAAATGAACAGGGGTCCATAACGTACCAGTTGTATAATATGTTTTGCACTGACTTCTGAGCGATATTTAGTGTTTTTAATCTGGATCATAATTTCTAAACCGTTATACTGTTTACTTCTTTTACAGTTGATACTTCACGGGTTTTATTTGAAGTATCTCTCACTGAAGCTATTCGTTATGCTAGTGGCGATCCAATCGAAGCTTGGTTATTTGACTTATTGTGTTTGGATTGTGGAGAGTCTCTGTCTCGTGAACAACAAGCTAATGAAGTCAATATTTATCTTCCTCCTGTTGATCAATGCCAGTTGTATTATGTTAATAGGGATACTTTGTTTTCATATCACAAGTCAACGGAAATATTTTTACATAGACTGATGGCTCTTTATGTTTCGTCACATTATAAAAATTCTCCAAATGATTTACAACTACTTTCAGATGCACCTGCTCATCATATATTTTGTCTTCTTGCTCCATATGATCATAAATCTGGCTGTGTACCAGAGGTTCTTTGTGTGCTGCAAGTTTCTTTAGAGGGGAAAATAAACAAGGATCGAGTGATGCATAACCTTTCTCGTGGTTTACGTCCTTCTGGTGATTTGATCCCTTGGACATTGTCTCAACAGGTATTATTCCATTAAGTATAAGATTATATCAGTTTTCTCTATATGGTGGATGCATGAAAAGTAGTGATTTGACCTTTTCTCCCAAAGACGTTTATTTTTTCGGATGATAATATTAGTAGAGTAAAATCGTTCACTAGCTCCACTTCCAGCTTTACTTTTGCCTATAAAAAAATTCTGTAGCGCAGACGTTTTTTATATTTGTCATCATCCTAACATTAATTCAGAAAATTGAATAAAGTAATTTGAACTGTAAGTTGTTTGGCCGTAAAGTGATAAAATCGAGTTATGTATGTCTCAATTTCTGTGTGTCTATCGATTGGAGGAAGGTAATCAAGAACGGTCAAACTGTTATTAACTGAAGGGTAACATAATAGTGAAAGGATTTGATTTGTAGCTAATAGGTCGCCGTTCGGAATAGATATTCTTAGTAGCTGGTGCTGACCAAAGCTTGGAATATCAGACTTTATTTGGTTAATGAGCTTTATTCTTCAATTTTCAGTTAATGGTGTGCATAATATACCAGTGGCTCAATCAGTAGCCTAAGTTTTTTGTGGCTTTTATGTTCCTTAAACTAGGAGATTAAACAAGTCAACGTATTTCTCAAATTTTATTAGCATCTGCTTATAAGTAAATAAATTTCCACTTTAGTTATTGTGTCAGTTACGTAGGTTATATTCGAATCCCCTTTGTGTTTTTTTACGGGCTGAGCTCAGTGTCTCTAATCCTTTTTAGTTTTAACTAGAAAAATTTTAGGTAGTGTAGTTGTAGTTTGTTTTAGAGCACAAATAAATTGTGTCGATTCATTTAATTCAGAAGTTCAATTACATCCATTTGATTATTCCATGCAGTGTGTTTGTCTCAATTACTGTACTTGATTGATCCTTTGTTTTATAGTTCTGTGATGCCAACTTTGGTGAATTATCTGGTGTTCGTGTAGTACGAATAGCTACTCATCCTGATTATCAAGGTCTTGGTTATGGGACAAGAGCGTTGAAACTCTTATATGACTATTACAACGAGCAAACGGTAAGAGCTTTCATTATATGAATGAGAAGCTTCGCGCTCTATTAATTACTGACCATAAATTGTTTGCTTTTCCTTTTTAGGATATTAAAGTTCTTCCAGAAAATCAGCATACTGACATCCAAACTGAAAATGTTGGCTGCAATCGTTCTACCGAAGAGACTAAAAGCTTGAACCAAACATCCAATAAATCTTTAAAATTCAAACCTTCAACCTTAAGTTTTAACTGTGATTTAGATGAAGAGAACTATGACAATCACGATGACTCAGATGCTAGTTTGGAATCTAATAATACAAGATTATCTGAAAATAATTCAAATCTTCTCACAGAAATAATCAAACGACGTGAACCTACGAGTCTGCCTCCTTTACTTAGTCGTCTTATTGAACGTCCTTCTGAGAAACTTGATTACATTGGTGTTTCTTTCGGTGCTACTCCCAGCTTGTTAAGATTTTGGAAACGATCAGGTTACATCCCAGTTTATCTTCGTCAAAATATGGTGAGAGTTTTCTAATGGCCAATTTGTGGTCATTTTTCGGTTATGTTGAGAATGCTACTTTGACTTCTGTGCGATTATTATATGTCAGTGCGAATCGGAAACTGAAAAATGCTATTCTTATGGATGTAGTATATACAAACAGGTTGTTTTTAGTGGAGCTAATAGATTCGCATGTGATAACTTAATTCAAATTAGTACTTCAATGTCGACTAATTACAAATAACATGATTTAAGACGGTAGCAGACTAGTTCACATTACCATCTTTCGTAACGACACCGAAGAATAATCGAGTGGAGGTTGATGCAAGATATTATAATGCTTAATATTTTGGCTAGATCAATAATGAATATATATACTCTACAAAAATCAGTTTTGTGCTGCACAAAATGTTCTCATGTCTAGCTAATATGTAGTATCCTTCCACATAATTAAAGTATACTAACGTACATCATGTATTCTCTTCTACTTGATGATAATATAATTTTGACGATATGGTTAACACTTTTCTTTATATAATGTTACACGTCACATTTTAATGTATAAATAAATCTTTCATTGTGTATAATATTTTACTCAGTCTATGTGACAACAGAATGTACAAGTGCACATTTTTGCATTATGATTCCCCTCTGACGATAGTAGAAATAGACACCTAACTCCAGTAAAAATGTTAGTTCCTCTAATAACCAAGTTAAGTCACTTGTATATAATCTTTTTGTGACGTTGAATCTGAAGATATTTTCTGTAATAAATGTGACCTTTGTGGCCGTATACACAATTCAAAGTACTGATTCAAAATTGTCCTTTAGCTTGTTTTCTCTGTGCTTATGAAATTAAGTGTATCCATACGTACCTGTAAGTGGCTTTTTATACCTAAATGTCAAAACTATAATTTACGTGGTGTATATAACTATCTTATATACTGATAATAAATCATAAAATGTGATCGAGGGCGTTGATCATTACTGCGAATAGTAAACGATATTCACATGTACCAAACTAATGTTTTTCAATACATGCATAGAACACTTGTGTATAATTTTGTTATTAGGTTTTGCTTATCAGACAGATTAATTCCATGTGGTTACATTGTTGTCTTCAAATTTGGTCTGTTTGTTTTCACTATTTTTGCATTGAAGACAAACTATAATTGTTCAGTAGTAATGGGTGCATCAAATAATTATTGCCAATTTTCATGCTTCTGTTATTGCCTTTGAAATATTGACAGCTTATTAAGCATTCCTGCCACTGGTAGTATGTGCGTAAATCTTGAAGATTCATATGGAATTTACTAGATTTACAATATCTCTTACTTTTAGTAATTTAATGTTAGTTAGTTATTTTGTGACAAATAGTATTACATGTCCGAATGCAACATCTTGGAATTACTTGACATTTTTGTTTGTTTTTAATTTTAAAGAATGAGCTGACAGGGGAATTTACATGCATAATGGTGAAACCATTTAAGCATCAAAGTGTCTCGTCGCAATCGGCAGAATGGCTTCAGAATTACTTTTATGGTTAGTTCTTGACCATATTCATTTATATATCATTGTCAGCTATCTGTTTTCTTCCTTGTATTGTTGTTTGCTGAGTATCTTTTTTATCAAGGTAATGAATTAGATAGACAGTTAGAGATACTCCTAAATCAATTGTGTTTATATTTAGTCACAAAAAGAATAAGGACTGTCAAAGGTATGCATTTTCGAAACGCCTCTCTTAATGTTAGCCCGGTAATGGGTAACTGATGACGTCAGAATCAAGGAGTGAAATGTTCTTAACTTATAGTTAGATGACACTGCTCAAAATTCACCTGACACGGATGCACTAAGTTTTTAGCGTATTATTACTCCATTCACTTCATTTAAGTATTAAATTTGGTCCTTGTAAATTAGATTTTTTATTGTCAGTTGATTATTACCTTTGGTATCATTATTTTCACTCTTTTACTTTTCATGTTGATTACTCTGCTGTTTTTATGTACGTTGTGGCAACTTGAAATGATACACTTTTGGGATAGTTTCTACATTTTTAAATGACCGATTGACTATATTCAACGTGTAAAATTCCGTTCTAATGAACAGCATAAGTTTTCCTAACAATAAAGCGATGTGTTCAATTGCGCCTGCTTGTTTCTCTTTTCATTATAAGAGTGTTTTACTCTGCATAAATTTCGCTCGGCAGTTATGTTGTTAATGGTACTAGAGTAACTACTTCAAAGATGACTTTTTCATACTCTACGTCAATTCCTGCGAACATTTCCCTTTATTCACTTTCTGAAATATATGTTTAACTTTAGGAATTAAAGTATAACAAAAGTTATCGACGTAATTCATCTTAAGACGATCTTTTACAGTTGGTGCATAGTCTATTTTAACTGTATTATTCCTGTTTACCATATGCTTAATGTCCAAATTAATTATACCTTGGCTAATATTCTACCTTTCATAAACTCTACTAATATAATTAATAATTAATATTTTATATTTTATACAGATTTTACCAAACGTTTAATACATCTTTTCCCTGGACCATTTAGACATATGGATGGAACTTACGGTCTTGAACTCCTTAGTCATAAATCAATGGATACTGCAATATCTAATGGTAATTTGTTAAAATTGTTAAGTTTTCAACTTCATCTAGTTTACATGCCCTAAAATTCTTCTAATCTCTTAAAACTAGTCCATATATATTCATTTGATGTTAGGTTCCCCATGTTTGATAAGTAGAGTTTGTCGCCACAAGTGATAACAAGCCTAGGATCTCCAAAACGGCCATATTATTTTAAATAAATTGTAATAATGAAAACATAGTGACTAACCTTCAAAATATTAACCACATATTATGCAACTTTTCGCTTAGAAATCTATAAGAAACAACAGCATGTTGCTGTTCTGTCAGTAATGTTGTACTAGATCTATTTTTTTCGTTTATGACTGAATACATAAATTGGAGTACATACGAATGGTGTTGAAAATTAGATATTTTGTTTACATTCAGAAATTATGAATATGTAGTGCATATGCTAAACTACATCCTATTTAGACGTACAGTAGTGGCTGTAATAGGAGTAAATTGGAGGATAGTTAAGAGTAAACTAAATAGAGAAGTAGGATTGACTGCTAATTTAATCTGTGTTACTACGTGCAGACCGTTTAGTTGGAGTCTGCATGATAACTATGATTAGTACTCAAGTTATTTATTATCTCGTTTACCAGGTACATGATCGTGTCTTTGAACCACACTCCAAGTGTAGGAGATAGTATAACTACCTGATTGTTCACATACTAAGTGGAATGAGGTTCAAACTTGTGATTTATTAGCTGAAAGCCGAACTTCTTAACCTGTTATTCACTCCCCCACTCGATAATTATTCATAGCTGACGACCTCAAAAAATGATATGAAACCTATCGTTGTAATGCAGTTGTATACATACTTTTTATTCCCTTATTTCATTTATCTAATATAATATATCGGTCTTTTTCGCTTAGCATTGCTACCTATACTATACTAATCTTGGCCGTTATTCGACACGAGTCATGTAATTACTTTCAGAATATATATAATTTGTTATCATTCCTTTCGGGCTATTTTTGTGTTTAGTTATAACATTATCCAACCTCCTTAAAGATTCATTCACCAATGTTTTAACTTGAGCCGATACACATTCATTCTGACTAGCCATATTAACGTCTGTGAAACGTTTTATCTTTCAACTTAATGATGCCTATGTGAGTATCGTTGATTTTATCAGTTCACCTTAATTCTAAAATTTTAGAAATTCCACTGCCGTATTATAAAATAAACAGTGATTGAATTTTTGATAGTTTTTAAGTTAATATAATTGTTTAACATGGATCTTTCTTTCTCATCGATGTGTTCGCACTGTTGATTTTAACTCCATTCTCTTTGCCTTGTCGGTTGTTTGCTTGAATTAGATACGATTCGTCTTGATACATTACCCAGTCAATTGTACTCTTAACTTTCCAATATGGAGGACATATAATAAACCTGTCCATAAAGTTAGTTTTGGCTTAAAACCAACTTAAATTATCGAAATTAATCGAATACTTAGCTATATTGTTTATTCTAAATTTCATTTTTTCCTATGAGTAGATTTTAAGTGTATATTATATTGTGATGGATCATTCTTATTTTATTTTATTTTATTTGATCACATAAATATTGGTACAAGTGGGCACCAGATGCTTATGCACCACACGATGACAATGAGGATGGAAAGAGAGAAAAGAATGTAAGATGCGTGTAAGAAAGAAAAAAAGGGAGCACAATAACGACCACAGATTAGTGTTTGGTTGTATAATAATAATAATAATAATAATACTAACAATAATAATAATAATAATAATAATAATAATAGGGGAAACGGAAAGGTACAACCAGAAAGAATTCTTTCAGTTAAGGAAGTTACAACCACTTTTATGAAGCAAGTAAAAGAAGGTAACAGCACGATCGCCTTCAACTTCGTAATCCATAATAGCATTTGACCCAAACTGATGTAGATTTACTGTTATTTATATATACTTGTATGATGCTAATACAAGCACAACTTCGAAATATACTGGTAAAAAGTGTTTCATTGATTACTTCTTTTTCTATATTAGAGCTTACCCAATCAGAAATTAGCAGCTTATTTAATGCAATGGATTTAGAAAGATTAAGGCGTTATAGCAGGTCACTTGTTGATTTCCATCTTGTCAACGATCTGTTACCCCGTTTAGCTCAGATTTATTTCCAAAGGCGTCTGCCAAATGTGCGCTTAAATAAAACTCAACAGGTAAACATAGTGATTTTATTAATTTAAATATAAATATATTTCTGAAAATTCTGAAATTTTGCAACCTAGCGTGATGTGCTTCTTTGAATAAGCAATATCAGAAATCGCAAATTTCTACTCATTGGAACTTTACAAATGTACGATTGTTTCTATTATTAGCAATATAACCAGTACTTTTATTTGAAATTATCAAGTTAGACCTTGGTAGTGATAATTACAAATTCGTAATAATTTTATGGATGATACGTAGTTCATATCATCACAAAACAATAGCAAAAGTACATTGCCACCTTATTATTCCTTATGTTAAACTAATTATTATGTGAACCGATGTACACGTATACCAGGTCTTATGTTTTGCATGATTGATTATTAAGTGGGGAGTGGCTTTATGGTAAAAGCGATCGCATTTTATTTGTACGATCTCAGGCCGAAATCGTGCTTAGATTGGGAGTTTAAGTAGTATTATAACCACCGGGTTTATTATTTTACTGAAATTTTTATGTTATAAACCCAATAATTAAAGCATCAACAACTCTCACATAACAAGTGTGGCTCGAAGTCGAGTACCTGAGTTTATACTGTATAGATATGTTACATATTAAAATTGTTTTTGAAGGTGTCTGAGTTCTCGTACAACATATCCGGAAAACTAATTATTTCCTTTGGAAATTAATTTAATAACTTCCACTTTTACAAATATTATTGGATTTTACGAATATTATCGTAAACTAAGTGTGCATTTTTTTTTAGCCAGCAACCTTACAACAATAAAACATATCCAAATATATGTCAATAGCTAGTGTACTCCTGGCTACCAAAATTGTGAATTATTATAGCAGTAGGGACGTTTTGTTTTTATATCATTTTCTCGGAAAAAAACTGATATTCGACGAGCGTGTTTGGTTTTATTCGTCAGTAATAAACGCAACGGATTGTGTTAGCCCATCAAAGAATAAAAGATAACGAAAACTGATCTATGTGTAGTAATTTGCTCTTGCTGTTGGTGGAATATTGTTTTGGTCCACTCTTATAATCATCAACCTACCCACTTCTGGTATATGTGAAGAATGTAATTGTACATTGTTTTATTACAATCACATGTTGAAGCTTTGTTTTTATTTATTCATGTATATACTATGTCAGTTGTCTAACATTTTTCCATGTAGGTTATCCTATTATGTATGGGTTTACAACATAAAACAGTGGAACAAATATCCAGTGAATTTAGTCGTCTACTTGGTGATTCTACTCGTCCTCAAATTCGAGTTTCTGGACTTGCACGGCCTGATGATGCTGTATATTCAATACTAAATTCTCTCAAAGAAAAGTGCGACCCATCTGGATCTACATCTAGCATCGATTCTTTTGGTCATAAAAAGAAAGGACCAGATACTGGTGTTACTTCAGGTTGGACTAAGTGTATTCTTGGTCTTCTGTTTGTTATTGTTCGTGAGCATATCAAGTCGTTAGACTCAATACTTGCATCTGAGAGGAAATGTGGGATAGAATCAAAGAAAAATACTATCGATGGACAATTGCAGCCAGTCATGGATGTGGATCTGAAAGTAAGTGTTCGTACTGTAAAACCTAAACTAAGCTAATTCTAAGCCATATTCAAGTATTTTGAGATATCGAACCTATCAAATGTTTCTGATTTTAATGTATGTATTTTTCTCGGTACTTACTGTTTATTATTATAGGTGGATAATGTTCTGTTTTTAATTAATTTATAAATGCACTGAATGTGTACCATTATTTGTATTTTCGTCACATTCGAATTTTTCTAGGACGGAAATTATGCCGCGCTTAGAGTAGATGAAAATACTTTATCAGAGTCTGACGAAGACAAGTCTGAAGAGTATGAAAATTCACTTTCAGATGATGAGAGAGATAGTAATTCAAAAAATGCAGAACACACAAGTAATCATCATTTGGAATGTAAATCAGAAATCAGTGACTCTGAACGTGAACGTAGATCTACTTTAGTACATCAACTAATATCTGAAGAAATTACCGGCCAAAGTAATTTATTCTCTGCTTACAAAATTCAAGGTTCTGAAACTGATTGGGCTGAAGCTGTAGTAGGACATGGAGCTGATCTTTCTTCACTTACTGTTAAATTACCATCTAATCAAAAAATTAACAATGAACGGTAAGTAGTAAGTTTCGCAGAAAGTATAGTTGAAGTCGCTTCATTTGAAAACATGCTAATGTTTCGTATATACTTCGCATAATTGCTTGGGACGATTTGAGAGATGATATAACATTATTAAATCTTACATTATCGATGCGATCCAGTTTTATGAGTTTCATACATCTTCATCTAATTGTTCGTGTTAAACATGAAATTCCAACGAAGTTATTATATCTTCAAGAAAAAAACGAGTTTCTTTCTTTTGGTTTCAGATCGACTTGGTCAATTTATTTATTATAGGATTAGATAATAATTTACTCCGCCTATTGATTAATTTATATATATTGCTTGTAGGATCAGTGACTTATTCACTATGAACAATCACTATGATTATCTTTTAAATCTTCTCTTACATAGCAAAAATAATTTGATTAGGATTTATTGCTATTTCTTTTTGGTAGATTGATATTAATTATAAATTCCAGATACTTATTTAACATATTTAGATAATTCCATAATAAACTTTTGTTAATGACTTGTTTATATTCCCTTGAAAATCTTATATTTTATACTGATTTACTGAGAACAATTTTCATTTAAATCAATTGTGTGACGAAAACATTTTTCTTCCTTAATAGAAGCATAAAAAGTATTTCTTGTTAAAGACAAAAAAGTTATTTCCACGAGTTCTAGTAACTCTTTTTGTTATTGTTATTCTTTAATTTAATTTAAAAAATATGCACTACAAAGTAAATGCCATGTCTTCTGGTTTTTATACTGTTTCAACTTCAACATTTTATGTTTCCGTGTATTATTTAATTCTTTTACAATTATTAATCTTGATCTATCTTTTGGATAAAATATTCAAGATCTTAACAACTGCTTATTGAGTTTCTGATTAAGAATAACATTCTTGTGTGTTTATGTATTCCCCTCTGTTACATGGATCAGCAAATTTTTATCATTATTTTTAACAGATATATTCTGACTTATTGGTTTGCGGCTATATAGCTTTGAAAGTGAATTTATTTAATTAATCCTTTTTGGTTATTTTATGTCACGATAAGTGTATTCCGTTTATTTAGAAATTAGAAGAACCCTATGACAATGAAGAAATTCAACTGGTCTTTAAGTTACTCTATTAAATTTACTGACGTGAATACGAAAATGAACTTTTTCACTGACTGTAAAATAGCATAAATATCCTAAATGTTATTAGAAAATATTCATCACAGTTTATATATATCTGATCTCTCAAACGATACACTTTGGGGATCATTATGTCAAAAAGATTTTATATCGTTACTTAACCTATCTATATCTTAATTTTTTTAATTTTGCTTTTCTTAGAAAAAATAAAGATCAACAATCTTGTCACTTCGAGAAGAAAAAACATAAAAGAAAACTTAAATTGACTAAATCGAAGCGTCAAAAGCTGACTTGATTTCGGAATTATTATTTTCTTGTATACAATGATGTAAAGCTTTAAATATATAGTCAACTATGTATCCACGACTTTTTATTTTTCATGTAACATTTTGATGGGTTGATTTAATCGGACTTATCCAACACATTACTGATTATCTTATCATTTTTCGTTATCACTTCCTTAGAACTGATGAATGTGAATGTTAAATGGGTTTCGAAATCTTATCTAATGTTGTTCATTCAGTATTTTTGAAAATTAACCTATGTAGTCGAAAATTTCAATTTATTATCAGATATAACTATCTCCATGCTATTTTAGCCTTCTTTTTTTAAAAGATACACTTATCTGTCATATGATTCGACAATTTCATTAAATTGAAAATTTGTACTAGGTTTGAGATAACAGTAGTTACTGAAGTTAATCATTGTTTTTCTTTATTGGTTATTAAAGTTCAGTTACTTCCGCTCCATCTTATCCAATCACATCATTTTATTTCGATTGTACATGTAGGTATTCGTCTGTAAGTCTTTGTATAAGATAAGCCTTTTTTTGGTTCCTCCAAGCCGGTACTGTCTCTTACTTATTAATTTGGCAATTTTTCAGGAATTACGTACATTCCTTGATTCTCGCATTTAATAGACTTATTGACCAGCTTGCGATAAATTTTTTCTGACCTCATCTTTTTTATGATTGGTCATTATTGTCAAGGTTACCTCTACTACTATTTAGTCTATTGGACTAAATAAGTTATGACCAAGCTTCTTCCTTTCCCAACTTCGATATTTTAGTGACAGTTACTAAAAATGGATGAAGTAAACTCTCATGTGCTTTACCTACCTCGTAAGTAATTCGAAACGTTTTTCTTATAATCGTTTTATTGTAAGTCTTAGACTCGAAAAGACTAGTTTTAAACTCACCTCATTAGTTCTTCATAAATTGGTGAGATAAATCTTCATGTGTATTTACCAAAGCTGTATAATATAAAAATGATAGTGACTTCAGTTCTTGAGTTCACACTTTTTGTTTGCGTTATCTAGTGGGACAATATTATAATAAGGTAAACTCATAAAAACTTTATTTAATAATAAATCTGAAGAACACGAAATTAGGTTACCGGTTCCAATAATTTTCTTATATAATTGTTGAAAAGTTTCCATTATATCAAAACACAATTATATGGATGAGGAGTATTCTTTTCAATAGTTTCCCATCAGGTTCTACAATTATATATCCAAATTAATAATCCATAAAATTGGCCAAGGCAGAGTATATCATTTAAAATTATAACATATAAATCAAGAGTTGTTTGTTATGTAAAATCAGATCAAATTGTTAATGTTGGAATGACTAATATGAAGTGTTAACTTGAACTAGTTCATAAATGAAATGGAATTGTGAGATACTTGATCATTATAAATATGGTCAACATGGGGTAAGAGAGAATAATGTAATTACGTATATTGGAAACAATATTTTTCGTCCATATAATTGTGTCACAAAGCTGCAAATAAGTATATTTATGACATTTTGTTACCAAAGTTTTGTACTGGAGTAATAGGGGTCAGATGCAAGTTCAAAACCACCGACCGTTTTGAATTACTACACTGAAAAATATTTGTCAGTTACACCACTTCTCCTATTTCAGATGTTTTTCTTTTGACAAAGCATTCCAACCGACTTTCAAAAATCATCGATACTGAGAAGTCCTAAGCAATGTTTTATATCTATTTCACGCATCCATACTTTGAATATTCCGAATAAATTTATTTGAACCAGAGAAAAATGTGTCTAATTATATGGATCATTGTTTTCTCAATCCTTGTGGTCGTTTGATGTCCAACGAACTCTTTGCTCATTACTTCATTATGGCTAACTTATCCTCTGTTAAATGAAACACAATTGTTTGTTGTAATTACACCTGTTCACGTGGAGGAGCATAAACCGCCCACTAGCATTCTCCTCCGAACCCTGTCTCGGGAAACCCTTTCCAGTTAATCACTATTGATGTCGGCTTCTGATTCCCGGTTCAGTGTGTTCCTTGGTCTTCCTCTTTTCCTTCAGGATCCCAAGTTAGCGCTCGCTTCGTGATGCATTTTGATGATTTGCTCAATGTATGTCGTAACCGCTCTGCCCGTAGCTCTTCTAGGGTTACTACCGGTCGCAAGCGCAGGTAAACGAAGAGGGTTGAGCATGGGTTCAGCAACTCCATCCCGTAGAAAACAACCTTGTTAGAAAAACGCCAGCCAGAATAAACAATTAAAACTCTACCCTAGAATTTGAGGGATCTTTCAGAAGAATTATAACGTCTCATGGTGAAAGCCGAGATTCTTCACAAGGCCAATGACCATTTTAACAGCCAGAACAACAATTAATGTAGGTATATGTAGTGTTCGGACATGGGCGACCTAGAAGACTAGTCAGATAGCTACGGAGACGAGAAGATACAATTCGACGGTGCTCAATATAAGGGAAACTCATTGGACCTGAGCCTTAAAGACTGTATGTTATAGGGTATATTTACTACGCATTTTTCTTAATGCCATATATGGGTTGAAGAACTCACCGAGGAGTAAATAAAGTGTTTTTGAAAACCTATCACATGTCTGTGGACTAGAGTACTTCTAAACGTCTTGAATTAAATGAATTAAGTCGCTTAGTGAAGTTGCGGATTTCCAATGGTTGAAGTGTCTGATACATTCGTAGTGTGTATAAAATCACCACCTAACTTACTGTTTTGTTACCTAGATCAATTGTAACTTGGTAAACACTAAAGGTAGTCAGACCGATAAATCTATTTAACTTTAACGGAATGACTAAATTGTATCGCTCGTAATCAGTTATACTGCTGCAAACAAGTTATTGTTTTTTTTCTTAGTCTGGAACATTCTATTTACTTGTCTTTACCTACCGTTTTTAAATTTATTATCTCTTTATTGGTATTTATCTTTTACTTTCACCCGATTCAAGAGTACACACTTCAACTAATATCCATTCTGTTTTGTGACTTTCTGTCTACTTTAGTATCTGCATTCTTGACTATTTTGTGTGGTTCTGCTTACAGTTTAGGATATGTAGAATATTTCATGAATTTTAAGTTAAGTCAATAAGCGTGATTGAAACATCATTGAATTTAGTATTACTGAATAAAAGTTTGAATTACGGATAGAATCAGGATTCCCATTTTTGTAATAGTACTCGAGTGAATTGATTTAGTAACTAGTCTGGAAACTTATTAAATAAAATTTGGTCAGAAATAGGAAATAAACAACATGATATTGATCACAATCGAATAATCAAAATACTCTAATCTTGTATATGGAGTTCCAATCAACACAATTTAGAAAAAAATTATAAATTGCAATGTTTGGAACCAGAATCTTAGCTCATTTGTGTAGTAAATCATATCACTTTATGAAGATATATTCATCAGGAACTGCACTTTTATGGGAAAGGATGTTTTCAATTTCATATCATGTAGTTTTAGGGTGTATAATATGTTAGTATATCTTGGGAAATGATAATAGATACTATATAATCCTATTTATTAATATTATGTACGTGGTATTCATATCTTTCAGCTGATAATGTCACCAATTTTTGGTTTTATGCTGTCCTTGCAGCAATGATAATTTTCTCATATTTTGTCGTGAGAGGGATTAGAGAGATTTAGTAAGTTTATTGTTTTCAGTATAATTAGTTAAAAATAAAATCACTGTTATGGTAGACACAATAAGTGTCAATTGCGTTTATATTTATAATATATCATGACAACTTTGACCAAGAACCTAAAATTTTTCCTCTACATTTGGAAGAAATAGTATTTTACTATTTTTCCAATTCGCGTACCACTTCACAAGTTTATCTGTTGTGACACAGTAACTATAGATCTTTTAGCCTGGGAATCTAAAGGTGACAAATACACATTGTTTCTTTGGCGTTCCACTTATCTCCAAAGTGACTAATTTCCTCATCTTTTTAACAAAACACAGTGTTTGTTAGACATGTAACCTATTTTTGAGATTTAGATATTTTCTGCCTTAGAGACATACGAAATTCGTGCGGATTCGTACGGTACTTCTTTCAACGTAACTACAATCAGACTGATTCTATTTTAAGGCTAATCTACTCGCCCTTAGTTACCTTAGTTTACTGAGTTTCTATTTTCAAATTTAAAACTGTTGTTTTAAACGAACTCACTATTTAATCATAGTATATATTTCTTTTTCTTAGTTTTGAAACAATAACCCCAAATTTATGTCGTGTTCACCAATCACATAAGCCAACAAGTTATGGTTCTGATGAGAATGGAACGAGAACTGGTCCACACTCATGATAAACTGCCTTTTATTAACTGTTACAGTCGATTTATTTTCCGTTATGTATGTAAATCGTTTAACATTACCGGTCTTGCCATTTCCCTTTCAATTTATTTGTAAGAAGATGGATATTTTCCAACTTCCTTATTTCTGAAAATAATACTGTTAGGGGGAACATTTATCTATTGTCATTAAAGCCACGGTTCTGAATATGTATATTTCATTCATGAAGAAAATTATTCGTTTTTCATGGTATATACAATATATTTCAGTAATAAAACATACACTTTATGTTATGAAGTGATCATTCTCAATGTTTCTGTCAAGGTCTCAAATAAGCTCCTTTTTTATTGCCTCACCAGACAATAGCACATAAGTTCAAGTAATTTTTCTATTTTCCGAAAATGACACACTTGACTTTTTTATCTCTCGTATCCCTACAGGTTATAAGATAGTAAATAATAGACAGCCCAAATATTATCAAATCGTTACATCCACAGAATAAATATTAGTATATAATTTATCAGTCTTAAGTAGCTGATATTTCTGGTTGCAGTTTGCTCGCAAAAACTCTCATTGTATTTTACAAATATGTCTCGGACTGTGAACCCTTCAAAATCATCAGGCAACAGTGGTATGATAAATGAAAGTGAACTTAAACTACAATTATCTTGAGTCCTTATATGTACTTCTAGATCTATACAAAACCTTCGCCTTTAACTGTTACCTTCTATATTTCAGCTATAAGCAGATGCTTAAACTGTAACCACACACGTGTTTTTTGCCATGGGATTAAATCTAGCACCTAACTAGAAAACTTCGGGAAATGAAATTTAATGTATAGGGAAGTGTATAATCTGTTTTTCGCATGATAGAAATAAGTGGATTATCTGTATAATTATGATCCACAAGTTAGAATTAGAAAGGAAAAATAGTTTTGTGTATTACTCAATAAACTGTCTAGCGTCATATTCTATTTTCACTCTCGTGTTTCACCTCTAGTTATTTGGAGCATTAAATACATTTTGGTTGTGTAATATTCGACTCATTTATAAACACAGAAATTTGAGTACTGCTGTGGAGAGATGCAAGCGTGAGTCTTAACGTAGATTACTACATATAACAAGTTGAACAAGTAGCTGTTATTAAACTACAAGTCGTTACATTACTCATCATTTCACGAACGAGTAAATTAACTTGACCTCAGCATGCCATTTTTATAATACAAATTCTCAATGTTCACCCGATGATTCTGCAACTAGAATTCCTTTCACTGGTCTCGAATACAGCTCATTCAGAATTCCAAACTTCAAATGGAATTCTCTTAATGGTGTGATCGAATCAGTAAATTTTTCACGGATTTTTTTGTACTAGGCCCTAAAACTGAACTAAAATGTTATCATCTCATAGAAGAGTGTGACACAAAATGTTGTGCTTTTGATTTTAGTAATCACAAAGTTTTTGTTTCCATATCGATGCGTACGATTGATAATGTAGATTCCTGCTATACTATAGTTTAACAGTCTTTCGACAAGCAATTTTTCTGGCCACAAATTCCTGGTTCAGAAATATGCATAACTTGTATTTATTTTTTGAAAAAAAAGATGAGTTTGACTCGTAGTTAGTTCAAGTATCATTTCAATTTTCCTCAGCAAGATTTGAAACAACATTCTGAAAATGACTTATTATCAAACATTTTTTGTCTCTTAATTTTGCTTGCAACGATTTAGCTTCATTGCATAGATTCCTAATATCATCCGTGCAACTGTTTTCTGCCTGTATATGCCTTCTAAAAGCAGAGAAAATGAGTCAAGTTACAACTAACTCGAAACTAACAAGTGCACATCTTAAAGCATCCACTATACGACTGACATTGTCTGCTAGAGTAGTTGCGTTATAACATAAACTGCTCACAAACTTTTATCACACTTTTCAACATCTGAAATATTAGAGTCGTTAAGTAATGTTTGTGGTACAATGGTGGGTTTTTCCTCATCATGATCATTATTGGAAATAATTCTCTTGTGGTTATTATTTTCTTCTACTGAAAAACTAAATAGAACAAGTATTAAAGAGTTCGAAGTGAAAACCTGCGATGCATATTTGCACGAAAACAGAGAAAAAATTTAAATGTCTCGAAGTTACTTTTTGCTTGTTTAAATTTTTCAATATCCAATTCGATCTATACACTTGGAAAAAGCTTAAGTTATGTCTCACGAATTGGGTTTTGGTGAATAGTTCTCTATATTTAACAACGTCGATTCATCAACGCCTTAAGGTACGTGCCTGATTTTTTAGGACTAGGCACCTGATATTGATAAATTATTACGCGGCTTGTTCTGAACACCATTTCTAAAACTAAAGAGTCTTGATGGCTTCTTTCGAATAATTCCGTAAGGTAAGAAGTAAAAGTTTTTGACTTCAGTATCAGTATAATTTAACCTGCTATAGTGAATTTCCAACTTTAGATTCAGATTTATTTAGTAAAAACAGAAAGCCAACAGCTTGTTTTTCCCTTTCTAGTATGCTTCTATGAGTGTCTAATCTTCTCTTGGATGAGCCAATTGAAGGTGCAGACACCACTGCTTAGGGTAACAGGTTCCGGGAATCCATGAATCGGTGTGAAACCTGTATGTCATGATCAATTTTTTCGTTCTTGTATTTTCTACTTGTCTGCTATGTTCCCTGAGATGTCCAGATCTAGAAGGAAGAAAAAGCAGTGATATACTAGATCTAAAATCATTTTTTATGATCTTATACACTAAAATAAGAACACCTCTTAATTTGCGCTGGGACAGAGTAAAGATGACTGGCGTTTCAAGCCGCTTTTTGTATGGTAAACCCCGGAGATCTGGAATTTCACAGTTAGCTGCCCTCTGTATTTATTCTAGGTTGTCCGAGCCACATTTTAGACAGTGTCCTGACGTCAGAACGCAATTATTAAGCTTTGTTTTCACTAGGATTGTCTATACTGTAGTGAACGTGGTTGTTTCCAGATTTGTAGATGTCCGTCTTAATGTCTATATCCTCCTAAACTACTTCGTTGCAAACTTTCGGCAGTGGGCCACGGTCTTAATTTCATGACTCGTTGTCATCACAAGGTCCTTGTCAGACCGAGATGTGGACAATGACTTTTGCCCTCTGGCATATCTATTTACCTTTATATCCCCAATGTGCATGTAGACACAAGTTGCCTCGTCAATAGGCATCAGCTTCTCTTCAGACAAGCTAATCTCAATATTTGAGTCTATTTGAAGTGCACATGCATCTGAGCCTCCCATTACTTCTCGCCAACGTTTTACGTAATTAGCGTATAATAACATTGGGGACTCAGCTATACTTGGGAGTTCATTCACATGCACCATAAAAATAAAGGACCTAGGACAGAACCTTGAGGTACTCCACCAAGTACTGGCCTACAGGTAAAGCACTTGGAATTTGCTCTGACTTTCTGTCTACGACCTACCGAGAAATCCTTAAACCATTATAGTGGAGGCCCGGTAATGTCTAGATTTTCCAGCTTCAAGAGCAGTCTATTTATTGGCACCTTTTCAAATGCTTTACTGAAGTCTATGTAGATGAATATCCACTGGTTTTCCAATATCTAGCGCCTTTCTCGATTGTTCTCTTGCCATAAAGAGATTTGTTGTATGAGATAATTCTTCCCTGAAACCACGGTTCTCAATATTTAACAAGTTGGTTTCTACGAATATCATGGTCATCTTGACTATTCTTTCCAGTATTTTAACTAATACACTAGTAAGGCTGACAGGTTTGTGGTTTGGTGAGAGTTAAATTGATTTCGTTTTCTATATTCGAGTGACGATTACGTTATTCCAATCCGTTGGGAACTCACCTTGGTCAAGTGACATACAGAATATCGTAGTCAGTGTGAATATAATATATTGTGGAATTTTTCTCAAGAATTGAGGGCATGGTTCACCCGGTCCTGTTGATCTTTCCCTATCCAAAGTGCTAAGAACCTAAAGTAAATCGTCTCGACCAAAGTCCACTCTGAGCAGCAGATTTTGTGACCTTGAATTTGGGTCTAGTTCTTCGTCGAGAAGAAACTACTGAATGGAAACTGTCCCAAAATAGTTTTTCATAGCCTCTGCTCTTTCTTGATCATCCTCTATTATTTCAAATCCACTCCCTTCACTAAATAGATTCTGAATCCAATGCAGAGTTCTTGTTTTGTAATTTATGTAAGATTTCAGATTGAGCCAACTGCTTCTCATCTTTTTACTGACCTTCACGGATTGTGACTATACAGCTTTTTGCCCACCTGTAGCGTTTTATCAACTCTTATAGGGTTACTGCCGGTCCCAAGCCCGGGTAAAGGAGGAGGGTTGGGCATGGGGTTAGCGTCCCCATCCCGTAGAAAACTAACTCGCTAAAAAAACGCTTACCAGAAAAAATAATCCAAACCATTTTAACTCTGCCCTGGGAGTCAGAAGGTCTTCATTTAGAAGAATTATGACACTTCATGGTGAAAGCCGAGCTCCTTCGGAAGCCACGAGGCCGATGCCCCTTCTAACAACCAGTGCAAAAAATTTTATAGGTACATAGAAAGTTCGAACAATGAGGGAAACCGTGAAGACCAGTCAAATATCAATGGAAATGAGGAGATACAACATGGCAGTACTGGGAATCAGCAAAACCCACTGGATCCAAGCTGGACAGAATGAGCTAAATACGGGAGAGATGCTGCTATACTCCGGTCACGAAGAGCAAAATGCTCCACACACTCAGGGAGTTGCTCTAATGCTGTCCAAAGTAGCACGAAATGCACTTGTAGGATGGGAAACTCACGGATCCAGAATCATCAAAGCATCATTCAGAACAAAGAAGGAGGAGATCTTAATGAATATTATCCAATGTTATGCACCCACCAATGATAGCAACAACGACATCAAAGATCAATTCTATGAGAGACTGCAATCAATCATGGCGAAGTGCTCAAGAAAGGACCTCACAATTCTGATAGGATATCTTAACGCCAAAGTCGGAATAGACAACATCGGATATGAAGTTATCATTGGACGTCATGGACTAAGAGAGAGAAACGAAAATGGAGAAAGATTTGCAAATCTATGTGCATTCAACAAATTGGTCATAGGCTGCACAATATTTCCACATAGGCGTATACACAAGGCTACATGGATCTCACTGGACCACACTACAGAGAACCAGATAGATCATATTTGCATCAACAAAAAATTCCGAAGGACAACGGAAGACGTGAGAACCAGGAGAGGTGCTGACGTAGCTTCAGATCACCACCTAGTTGTACCCAATTTAAAACTGAAGCTAAAAAAGAACTGGACAAGTGGACAAACAGCACTACAAAGGTTCAATACAGCCTTCCTTCGAGATACTGACAAACTCAATGAATTCAAGATAGCTCTCAACAACAGGTTCCAAACCTTACAGGATCTACTGAAAGAAGAAGAAACTACTATGGAGGACAACTGGAAAGGCATCAAGGAAGCATTAACTTCAACGTGTCAAGAGGTTCTGGGCCTAAAGAAACACCATCATAAGGAGTGGATCTCTATAGAAACTCTGGACAGGATCAAAGAAAGGAAGAACAAGAAGGCAGCAATAAACAACAGCCGAACACGAGCAGAGAAAGTCCAAGGACAAGCTGAATACATAGAAGCAAACAAACAAGTGAAGAAGAGCATTAGAGCCGACAAGAAGAAATACGTGGAAGAACTAGCAACGACAGCAGAAAAAGCTGCAAGGGAAGGAAATATGAATCAGCTTTACGACACAACAAAGAAACTATCAGGGAAATACAGTAAACCAGAGAGACCGGTCAAAGACAAAGAAGGCAAGCCAATCACCGAAATTCAACAACAGCGTAACAGATGGGTAGAGTACTTCGGGGAACTCCCGAATAGGCCGGCTCCAATGAATGTACCGGACATCGAAGCGGCACACATAGATCTCCCTATAGATGTCAACCCACCAACTACGGAAGAAATTAGAATGGCCGTCAGACAAATCAAGAGAGGGAAAGCAGCAGGACCCGACAACATATCAGCTGAAGTCAGACATCGAAGTAACTACAAACATGCCTTATCTTCTATTCAAAAAGATTTGGGAGGAGGAACAAGTGCCGATGGACTGGAAAGAAGGACACCTCATCAAGATTCCAAAGAAAAGAGATCTGAGCAAATGTGAAAACTACAGAGGCATTACACTACTGTCAGTACCAGGGAAAGTCTTCAACAGAGTGTTGCTGAACCGGATGTAGGATGCAGTAGACGCCCAAGGCTGTTTACTCTTGTAACAGCTTAGGTTGGTTGGTTAAGAGTTGGCCCCAAACAACCAAGCATATGCCAAAACAGTATTGTTCAAGTATTCATCCACTTCCTTGTTTTGTATAAGCGTTATATTCCCTATTATCTTATATTGAATGTTGAGAGCCTTTGTTTGTCTGAACAGATAATCCCACGCTCCACTGTCACCGCGCCGAGATCGATATAAAGACCTATTCACTACTTCTCTGGTTTCTTCTATCAATAGCACGAGGGTTATTTTAAGGCACGAAATTGGTGAGCCCTTTTTGAACACAAATTTAACCTCATTTCTGTTATTAACATTTTTTTTTACCTAATCGTAAAAGTAAACCTGATTATCCGTAAACTAATTTGAGTATATAACTAGTTTATTCCGTATTATCTCAAGTTATTCGTGTTACAGTAACCACTTTTTGTGCTAACTTTATTGCTATATTTGTCATATACCTCATGTCAGACTCAATAGAAACCCATAATCTGGAGGATTTGTCACCAGTGGAGATAGACACTGTTATGACTACGAAATCCCGACTTCCAGAATTTGATCGTAATGATCCTGAGTTGTGGTTTGCTCAACTAGAGCATTATTTCACGAGACACAATATCAAATCTGAAGGGATTCGCTATAGGGACTTGTGTTCTATCCTTCCTCCTTTAGTCGCCAAAGAAGTCCGTGACTTGATTTTGAGTCCACCATCATCACAACCATACACCATCTTGAGACGAGAGATAATGAACCGTTTATCATTATCAGATAGTCAAAGAATCCAAAGACTTTTTCAAGGTGAAACACTAGGTGATCGGTCGCCGTCACAGTTTTTACGTCACCTCCAAGTCTTAGTGGGTGATAACACAGTGGGTGAAGCAGTCCTAAAACAAGGATGGATACAAGCTCTCCCATGCTACGTCCAACACTGTTTGGATGCACAGGATCCTGAAACCTCATTATCTCATTTAGCGCGTATAGCCGACAGAATAATGGAAAGAGGTCCTCCAACTGGATCAGGCATAATAAATCACACACAAAAAGTAGAATCAGCAAAAGACCCCGTAATAGAAGGACTCATTGCGAGTGTTAAGAGTCTCACTGAGGCTGTCACCAGAATGCAAATGGGTCATAGAAACAGGAGCAGGTCACCACAACGACCACAATCCAAGTCACAAAACAGGTCACAAATGTCCAGACAATCTGGGAAGTTTTGTTGGTACCACTGGAAGTTTGGTGTCAACTCAACCAAGTGCATGCAACCATGCGCCTGGCCTAAACATAATTCTAAGACAGCGGGAAACGAGTAACCCCTCCCCAGGTTGCGACGACTGAGGAGGGGCGCCTAAACAGTCGCTTGTTTTATGTTAGAGACAGAAACTCTGGCTTGAATTTCTTGGTCGATACTGGCGCTGCTCTTAGCATCATCCCTCAAAATAAAACTGAGATTAGTCGAGAAACATCATCAATTACACTTCAAGCTGCAAATAAAACTAAAATTGCGACATTTGGGCAGAAAACTTTAACCCTAGATTTGGGGTTCAGGAGGCAATTCCCTTGGGTTTTCACGGTAGCCGACTTAGATCTGGCAATACTGGGGATGGACTTTCTAGAGAGATACGAATTTCTAGTTGACACCAAGAAACGGCGATTAACACTAAAAGAAACTTCGTATTACACAAAAGGCAAAGAAAGTCACATCAGCTCTCTTAACTTGATTCAAACCCCTCCAGTAACAACAGCGAAATTCCAAGATATACTCGCGGAATTTCCAAAGTTAACTAAACCAAACCCACAGCCTTCCAAAGACAAACTAAAAGTGAGTCACACTATCAAAACCGAAGGTGCACCGGTGTTTGCAAAACCCAGGAGACTAGCACCAGATAAGCTCAAAATCGCTAGGGCCGAGTTTGATTATATGCTACAATTGGGTATTATCCGTCCCTCTGATAGTCAATGGGCATCCCCTTTGCATATGGTCCCAAAGAAGAATGAAGGTGACTGGCGACCGTGCGGGGATTACAGAGCCCTAAACCGTCAAACCGTACCTGATAGGTACCCAATACCTCATATTCAAGATTTCACAAGCGGTTTAGAGGGTATGAACATATTCACTAAAATTGACTTAGTCAGGGCATATCACAATATCCTGGTGGCTGATGAAGATATTCCCAAGACAGCTATTACTACACCCTTTGGCTTATTCGAGTTTGTACGCATGCCATTCGGCCTGAGAAATGCGGCACAGACATTTCAAAGATTCATAGATAACCTACTTCGAGATATGCCATTTGCGCAGGGGTATATAGACGACTTGTTAATTGCCAGCCCCGATTTGCAATCACACAAACAGTGTTGAAAAGACTGGATGAACATGGAATAAACATACATCAAAGTAAGTGTGTTTTCGGTGTTCAAACTTTAGAATTTCTCGGTCACACAATAAGCCCAGAAGGGATTAAACCTATCAAAAAAGAAGTGGATACCATCAAACAATACCCCGTACCTAGTTCTCTAACACAACTGAGAAGTTTTCTAGGCCTAATTAACTTTTATCGCAGATTCATACCAGGTTGTGCACAATTAATGCAACCTTTGACAGATTCACTTAAAGGAAAACCAAAAGAATTCAAACTGTCTTCTGACGCCATCGAAGCTATTAAACAGCTTAAAGATAAACTGGCTGAAGCAACTACGTTGATATATCCGAATTCTCTTTCCCCACTTGCTTTGATGGTGGATGCTTCAGATAAAGCAGTAGGTGGTACCCTTAACCAACTGGTTAAAAACGCCTGGAAACCAATTGCTTTCTTCTCGAAAAGACTCGCTCCAGCCGAAACAAGGTATTCTACCTTCGGGCGAGAACTTCTTGCAATCTACCTAACCATTAAACACTTCCGACACATGTTAGAAGGTAGGGAATTTGTAGTCTTTACGGATCACAAGCCACTAACGAATGCACTAAAAGCGAGAGCTGATAAATACTCACCTCGAGAAGTCCGACACCTTGACTATATATCACAGTTCACAAGCGATATCCGACATGTCAAAGGTCAGGACAATCAGGCGGCAGATGCTTTATCCAGGCTAGAAATGAACGTGCTACAACAGTCCACAGTAAACTTCGAGACGTTGAGAAACGAACAAGAGCAGGATCTAGAATTACAAAACCTGCTTAAAACAAACAATTCAAGTCTTAATTTAAAACAGTTCCCATCACCTGTCGATGGTATTCTAATCTACTGTGACACGACCAAGGCAATTCCGCGACCTTTCGTTCCCAAAAGTATGCGAAAGTTGATATATAATAACTTTCATTCTTTGTCTCATCCTGGCGCAAAAGCTTCAACTAAACTAATCAATGCCAGATATATATGGCCGAATTTACAGAAGGATGTACACAAATGGGTTAGAGAGTGTTCAGCATGTCAACAATCAAAGATTAATCGTCACACAAATTCACCCATAGGTGTTTTCTCGCAACCAGATGCACGTTTTGCCCATGTGCATATCGACTTGGTAGGTCCTTTACCACGTTCAAACGGTTTTAATTATCTTTTTACATGCATAGATCGATTTACCAGATTCCCTATAGCCATCCCGATAGCGGACATCACAGCGGAAACAGTAGCCAAAGTCTTCATGCAGAACTGGGTAACCATTTTTGGTACACCCATAACAATAACGACGGATAGAGGAGCGCAATTCGAATCCGAACTATTTAATAACTTGGCTAAACTTCTAGGCTCTAATAGGATACGCTGCACTGCATATCATCCTCAGGCTAATGGGATGGTAGAACGTTTTCACCGTCAGCTAAAAACCGCCCTTATATCTCACTCAAACCCCAATCAGTGGACAGAATTCCTACCGTTAGTTATGTTGGGAATACGAACATCTGTCAAAACTGACGCACAGTGTTCAGCTGCGGAACTGGTTTTCGGAACAACTCTGAGACTACCAGGTGAATTTATTAACCCTAATACTAACAGTCAAAAACTTAATTTAGAAAATTATGTAGATCAACTACGGGACCACATGTCTAAACTTAAGCCGATTAATACTCGTGAACAATCGCGCGCCGTATATATACCTAAAGACCTAAGCAATTGCACGCACGTCTGGATAAGATGTGACAAAATAAAAGCACCACTCAGTCCTCCATTTGAAGGTCCTTTCAAAGTCGTCTCAAGAAAATCTAAATATTTCGTGATAGAAAAACATGGAAACATCGACACAGTAAGTATAGATAGGCTAAAGCCGGCTTATCTAGATCATGAACCACCATACGTGTTGTTAGATCGTTTAACTGACAAATCCATTACGGAATCGAAATGTAAAGATAATAAATCTTTACAAATGACTAAAACGGTTCGCTGGGCACATCCAATTAGTCAATCAAGGATGTTGACAGTTTCGGCTGCAGGATAAAATCTAACCACGCAGCTAATCACACCCTGCAACTACTTAAAAAATAATTTTTTTCCTCATTCCGCCTCACCGACAACTCCCCAGAACTTTTACCTTTGATATATACGTGTTATGTTAAATATTTTTTTAAAATACTGGGCACAAGCTAGGTATTCCGAAACGATGGCTGAGGATTTTAATCAAACTCATACAACTAACACTGGCAAACACAACCAATTCAAAAAGCAATCCAGGCGAGTTTTATAATTTTTTTTTCTGGTTAATTAACTATGTTGGCTGTACTTCTTATATATTTATATACATTTTTCACGTAGACTGGCTATACATAGATACCATATGAACTACTTCTAAAAGTTTTCGGTTGAGGATATGTTTAGTAGCTTGATACGATTAATACTACTATTAATAAGTAGTTTCCTAGACAAAACATTTTAGATTAAACCATGGTCAAGTACTTATTAAAGCTCTCATCAATTTTTTTTCATGTTTAGGAAAGTTACGTAATGACTTAACCAGTTTCCCTGCAGCATGCTTTTTAGTGTGATCATATAACCCATCTTTATTGGCAATATTCAGATTTTTTTTTAAATTTCTGACATTTAAGAATCAATAACCGTGAAGATATAGTACAGTGCGTTACTGTAAGGTTACTATGTCAGCCGCATTGATTCCACATACCTAATTTTAAACACAACTTATAAGGGAACTGTTTAGTAATCATAACATTGAACTGACAATGTGAATATCACGACTATGCTAACATTAAACCAATTACTATTAGTGGCCCATACAAAATCCTGGAACTTAACATTAGCGTTATAAAAAAGACATTTTATGTCAATAACTGATATATATATATATAACGTAAAATGGAAATTTACTAAACTTGTAGTTTTTTTTTCTATAGTAATAATATTAATGTAAACAAAGAACTTATACTTTTCCAATATGGCACTTTGATATACCAATCTGTCCTCTTGTCATTTTTTCTCTCATATGTGCGCGAATTACGGGCAACAATCATCGTATTGAAGGTGGGTCTGGTGAACAAAAACGCAGGCCCCACATTCACTCGAACCTCTGCCCTCCTGAATGCTAGACCGCGTGCTTAGCCGTTAAGCCACATCAGACCACGGGAAGTGACTTCAATATTTCCTTACACCAATTAATCACTCATAATACTAATGAATAATAGGACTTACACACTTCTGAGGTGCAAACCAATTCGTTACTTGGATGAATTGACGATATATTGCTTCAATATATCATGCATACCTAAATCAAACAGGAAAAGGGTATTTGACACAACTGTACTTGATCCGCATACTCCACACAATTTTTTTCCTTCTTAACCGTATATTCTTTCCCGTTTTGTGGAGTATTCTGATGCACCCTTGGTTACGCACCTAGTTGTAAAACGCGGTCATTACAGGCTCAAGGTCACTCGTTTGATCGATTTTGTTAAAGAGTCCAGCTTCTACCAAGTTCACCCTTTTACATATATGCATTACAAAAGAGTATTTTTTTTGTTTTCATGGTTTTTCGTGCACAAGATATCTACACTATATCTATTTCCTTCCAGAATACCAGTCCGTTCTGGAGGCCAAGCACTTATATGGGACCGAACAATTATCAATTACATTTATGTATTTCCATTTTGTATCTTATTATTTTATGCAGGCAGTGGAGCAGTTCTTCAGGTTTGCTTGATTTTCACCATTACTTTTGAAGTAGATTCTTCTTTACTTTTTACTTGAGGGCGACTGAAGAGGCAGGTGAGTAAACACCTGATAGCCGGTCTGAGCATGGAAAAATCGTACCTCACCAACATGGTGTTGGGTAGCCCGCTCGCGGCACTTCCTCAGATATTCTTATTCCACATTCTCACACTTTCTCTTGAAAGCACGCAGCAAACCGTCGGCGATAGTTGTAGAAATCACATGCTACAAAATAAGATGACAAGCTAGTAAAGAAGAGACATCCATGGACTATCGTTGACAGCGTCAGTCGTCACTGATTGTAAGTCAAACAGTGAGCGAGTTGATAATTTTCCCTTGGGATGAGAAATAGAACTAAGGTGTTTTCGATAGTTAGGTTAATCGAACCGACGTTCCTACGGAAGTCGCTTCTAGGGGGAAGCTAATGTAACAGCTTAGGTTGGTTGGTTAAGAGTTGGCCCCAAACAACCAAGCATATGCCAAAACAGTATTGTTCAAGTATTCATCCACTTCCTTGTTTTGTATAAGCGTTATATTCCCTATTATCTTATATTGAATGTTGAGAGCCTTTGTTTGTCTGAACAGATAATCCCACGCTCCACTGTCACCGCGCCGAGATCGATATAAAGACCTATTCACTACTTCTCTGGTTTCTTCTATCAATAGCACGAGGGTTATTTTAAGGCACGAAACTCTCTCCCTTCCTCTTTCTTCTGGTGGTCGACTGGATTATGAAGACCTCGACATCTGAGGGAAAACACGGAATACAATGGATAGCTCAGAACCAATTAGACGATTTGGACTTCGCAGATGACCTAGCCCTCCTATCACGTACACACGAACAGATGCAGATGAAGACAGCCGGTGTGGCAGCAGTCTCTGCACCAAGGTCCTCAAATTCAAAGCGGAAAACAGCAATCCAATCACTTTTGATGGCGAAACTCTGGAGGACGTAGAGTCTTTCACATACCTAGGAAGCATCGTCGATGGACAAGGAGGTTCAGATGCAGACGTAAAGGTGAGGATTGGCAAAGCAAGGGTCGCATCCCTTCAATTGAAGAAAATATGCAACTCAAAACAACATTCAACCAATATCAAAGTGGGAATCTTCAATACGAACGTCAAGGTAGTTCTACTGTATGGAGCTGAAACTTGGAGAACTACAACAACCACAATCAAGAAAGTACAAGTATTTATAAATAGCTGTCTACGCAAGATACTCAACATTCATTGGCTGGATACCATCAGCAATAGCCTTCTGTGGGAGAGAACAAACCAACTTCCAGCTGAAGAAGAAATTAGAAGACGATGAAAATGGATAGGACATACATTACGCAAATCGCTAAACTGCATCAGGAGGTAAGCCCTAACTTGGAATCCTGAAGGGAAGCGAAAAAGAGGAAGGCCAAAGAACACATTGCGTCGGATAATAGAAGCAGATATGGAAACGATGAATTACAACTGGACGGAGCTAGAAAGTATTTCCCAGGACAGGGTTGGATGTAGAATGCTGGTGAGCGGCCTATGCTCCTTCACGAGGAGTAACAGGCGTAAGTAAGTAAGTAAGCGTTTTATCGCACTTTCAGTGTCAAGGTTGATGGAGACTTTCCGAAATTTCTCCCTTTGTATTGGTAAACGTCGAACATCTTAACTCATCCAGAGATAGCCGTGCTTCTTTTTCTTTGGGACTGTCCAGTGTATACTTGATTGTATAACTTCCGGAGATAAGTCCATACGTATTCTGATAATATCCCGAGTCACTCATTTGGAATTCAGCCAAGACTGCAGAGTTGATCGCCTACATCCCTGTCTTCCATATGTTTAGGACTGGTGCAAATACTTGACAAGCTAGTTCAGCCATGAACTTGAATGAGATGACTTCATGATCACTTCTTCCCAAAGTTGAGAGGAAAGTTACTTGGCTGATATCATCACCGTGTGTGAATGTGAGTTCCGAGAGAGACGAGGAGTTATGTAAATCATATCTCGAGGGATCTCTAATATGCTGGAATAAAACTAAGGTGGTTGTGGTATCTAACAATCTGTGTGGCTGAGTTCGTGCTCAAATCTAGCTTTTGGTTCGTTTTCAGAATATAACCCTAAGATGTGAAAAATGACTTATCTGTCATCGGAGTTCGTCTTAACGTAATTCTTGTAATCTCCTCCTCCGTACGATCCATTTTGGCGTGAAACACAGAGGTCTCACTCTGATTCCTTACTTTTCATTTCTGATGTGATTGTATGCTGATCATTTACCTTGTTGTATCTCTTGATCAAATCATCTACACCACTCAGGCTTTGCTCTCCCATAATCTTTTTTGCGTTGATATATGAATCCGGGACTGCTACCGTAGATTCACGTACATTAGTGCTGCTCATAATTTGTTTCTTCTCAGCGAGCTTCTTCTTCTTCCCTGTAACGATATCTACATCTTCGTGCTTGTTATTCGCTTCCCTAATACAGTCCTTTTTGAGGTTTATACTCAACTCTGAAGCAAGATTATCTATTTCATCAAAAACTGAATTCTACTGTTGTGTTCGGCAGCTCAATCGCCTCAAGAATCAACATATACTTTGTAGAATAGCTTGCTTTCCACATCCAACATGATAGGAGCTTCTATCACCTTCTACATGCAGCTCGTGTGTGACCAGTGCACACATTTCGATAACGCTTATTGCAGTTGTCACATTACATCCCATTATCGAACGAGAAAGATCATGACTTTCTGCCAAAAATTTATTTATTTTCCATAATGATTAGTTTAATCAATATGTTCTGAGTCACGAACTATTATTACTTATGAGAGCTGAAGTAGATCTTTTCTAAATTAAAAATATTTTCTTAGCGTTTATTTAGATTGTGAGAAGGAATTACATGAAGACACTTCCCTGTACACCGATGGTTATTAAGGGAGTATAGGTGTTGCTAGGTGAATTTGGCTTATTTGTGATCTGTTTAAAAAATTAATCGATCGCAACGGTGTTGACAATTTTGACGAACTTCGACCTGTTTGTTGAGTGATTATAAGTTGCTTTTTCAAAAGCCAAATTTATATCACCAATTACTTCGGGTCACAGATGCGAAAAATATCGCTAAAGAAGTCCTACAGACACGTGATTAAGGACCTCGTTTGTCTAATGAAGCTGCTTTGTGAGGTTCTGATTGCTCCGTCCCCAAGTGGGTGACAAAATATTCGATCGTATGCTTTTTTCTCAATAATCCGTAATACAACCAGGGATAAATCTGTTTCTGATAAGTCTTTAGGTCTACATTTATGTTTTGATGATAATATATGTTGACCATCTGGTTCACAGGAAAGTTGCGGCCTCTAAGATTAGTATAAACATCCTCATTAATGACGTCGGTATGTTCAACCTAACCATTTTACAGTGAATTGATAGGGTCATAGCGATCTGAAATGGCTTAAGGCATACGTGTTTTTATGGTAGCGTAGATATCATTGAAATCAAGTAGACCTAACCATAGTAGAACTCCAGGAGAATATTAAAATTTTGACAGCGTTATCTTCAGAATGCAGGGAAATTACTGAATACGCACTACGTGACTATAACCAGCAACATCCAGCTCACATAGAATGGTCTCACAGCTGGATAACGTATGATAAGTTTATTGCCTAGGTCGGTTTTAGGTGTATTTATCTCTGTTACTAGAATAATAAACTAAACGAAAAATTGCATAATTGTCATGACTACCTAATCCACAAGTTCTTAATGTAAGTCGCATCACTGACCATACTATGACTCGTCCTTTTGTGAAAGTCAGCATTATGATGATTAGAACTTACGAGAAACACGTGTGAACTGAGGATATTATATTGTATTTGATGTGGAAAGGAATACGTTATGTTGTAGTGGCATTAAGCAATAACCACCCAATCCTCAATACTGAAAACGAGACACTAAAGAAAATGGATGTTCATCGTTTAGCGCGGAGAAAAATCACACGATGGATAAGGTGAAAACAAGGATTTGAATGAATTCGAATTGGTCGGATTGCATGGCTCGGCCTTATAGGCGTGGTCCCTGTTGAACGTTACCTTATATCTTTTACTCATATTAAATATAATGTTCTCTCTTCAGCCTAAACTGGATATGATTCTTCCCAGCTATCGTGTGTTAGGCTTCAAAGATCACTATAGTATTACATTCAATCTGTTTTCTAAAATACTGGCATAGAATTCCTTAAATTTTCTCTTATTATCACTGTATTTATTTATTACCCAAGAACTCTCAAAAATTCTTTTCTTCAAACGGAATATTTCTAAAATAGTGAAAATAAAAGATACACAGACTAAATTCATATCTCACTCAGCTTTTAACTTACAGACACTAAAATATAGAAGAGCCTGATCATGGTGTATCACTTTCCTCATAGTTTTTCAGACGTTAATAGACTACCGTGACGTTAGCGTAATACAACGCACGGAAATATTCGGTACAAATGTTTCTACGGTTAGATACAACGATGTGTAAATGTGAGGTAATAAAACAGTCTCTGCCTAGTTTTTAAAAGCAGGCGCAAGGAGCACTTTAGTTCTGTAGGTAGTTTGTGGGACTATTAATATTTACTCCTTGTTAAAAATTTTGTCAGCATCTATATTTCTGTGTCCCCGGTTTCCGAAAACAATGTAAAAAGGATTATACCGTTTCACGCTAAAGGTCTAATTACAACCGTCTAGACATGAATCTAAAAAAACTAACATTTCCCTATATCTGGCAAGCCATATTTAAACCAAAGTTTTCATATTTATTATTGGTTGATATTTTAATTATTTCACGTAATTGATGGACTGCAACACGAATTTCGGCTGGTTGCACGCAAGAATCCTATCCTATGAACCAATCCAACTTCTCTATTGTTACCTGAGTTCGTTTGAAATAATAAAAAGCTAGGTCAAATGGAATGCGGGATTCTAGTTTTGGTGTGTATTTGAATTGCAATTCAACTTGCAAAAGGTTTAAGACACAGCGGTGTCGATACCATGGTTCTATTTCACTATGTTAAACAATTTTTTTAACATGCTGTGTACTTCAGTAGTGTAGTGATTGAACGTTGAAAGCAAATTTGACGACCACACTTGTACTTATTAATGTTACAACTTAAAAAGCCGTAAGGGCTTAACAAATGGGTTTGGTTTACTTTATCACCAGTAAGTCCTGCTAATTACTACTAGGAACTAGTTACTCTTTTGAAATTGAGATTACCACTAACCTTCACAATAAACCATCAAGGTTCTCAATTTTTTTTACCTGCAATCCTCGGATCTGAGCTTATCTTTTATGGTACTAATTGTAGACTCGAAAACTTTAGAGAAGACGTTTTCTCTAAGTATTAGTTGAGAAGTACAGCTTATTTGTTCAATATAATTTCCATGATAACACAAGTGTTATTTCTCAATTCATTTATTTCTTTAATATAGGCTTAGACTATTGACTTCTCATTTATTTAGGTCTTTTAATTCTACCTTAGCAATGATCGCACATTGGATGCCATGTAAAATCGAAGCAAACGGGATGAAAGCGAATTCCGAACTTCAATGTCTAGAAACTTTAAAGTAATTTGTATGACATGTATCGTTTTCTATTTCAGCAATGAATCTGGTGCATTAAGTAATCATGTACTAGTTTCGAATTTCCGCGGTAGGCCATTACGAGGATTTCAACTCAGTTTTCCTGACAGTTACTCACCAGTGGTTGTTCACCATAGTGGTATCGTGTCAGACGTTGGAACAGAACCAATAAAATTTGGGGCTAAGCTCGATAAAATATTCCTATGGAATTTGTCTACGCCACCAAGTTTCTCAGACCCTATACCATTATCTCTCACTTGGCTTCATTTGGCTAGCATTTTGCATTCAAGCTCCTAATATTCGCTAATACATATTGTTCACACTTTTTGTATATCTTGTTATGATAACGGTTAATGTTTTACATATCTGTACAACTAAACGAATGATGATCATACAAGTATTTCCATAACTGATTTCTTGACTTCTTCATGAAGACAACCATTTTTTTGAGTAGCCTTTTATTCAATTCATGACTAAGCATCATGTCGTGATATTATATAAATGTTAGCAAAAAGTCAGTATCCACAAATATAAATCCAAAGGACATTAAGTGTTGAATATGCTAACATAGAACAATATCTAATTTTTTCTTGCATCATGTCGTATATGTGATGCGTTGTTGAGGTATTATTGTATTCCCACTATTAAACTATTTTAACATGTTTTGAAATTTGTTCGGATGTGGTTTAAATATCTGTCGATCACTCTTCCATTTAAACGTAAGGCTTATAGCCAACATCTGTTTACATTTCTATGACTTTTACGGTTATAATTTCTTTGGATTAAAAGCGAAAAACGATTAACTGTCATTGTCATGTAGGGATAACTCGAAGTATATTATTGATCAGATTGAACTGATTGTTCTGAGACTACTCGCTGTATCAAGCCAATTTACTATATCGACAGGTAATGGCGGCGTGAGTCAAGTATCAATCTAATATAAATTATGAGTACAAATGTCCATAGCTACCCGCTGCATAATCACCTTAACTAAATCCGTAAAAATAAGATTGATAACAATGACAAACAATTTCCTTAAGAATGATTAAGGCGACTCTGTATTATATGTCGAAAGATGTATTTGTCAGACTTCATTTAGAATATACTGTTTAATAATGTATTAAGAGAGAAAAGGCTGTCCGGAATGGTACGGATTGATGAGTATTGTGAGAAGTATTTTATTTTCTCGGTTTCTTAAGAATGAATGCCTGCGCTCCTACTGACTACAGCCCGGATGAAGTGAAAGATGACTTACAGGAAGCTTTATGAATTTCTTCAAAAAGCTAAACGCTCGGACACAGTACTCGTGGCAGGTGACTTTAATGCTCATCTATGTAGCTTAAACCAAACAGAAAGACATTTGGGTGCGTATTTTAGTATTCCGGCTCAGCGAACACGTAATGGTGACCGTCTTTTACAACTGTGCTTAAACCATAGTTTACTTCTAACGAGCACTCATTTTAAGCATAAGGAGAGACATCGTCTAACATGGCGACCGCCTGCACCAAACCAATGATAAACCCAAATAGATCATAGTGGCATCAGTCACTGTCTGAGAGGCTCGATAGCAGGCTGTCGCTCGTTCTGGAGTACATATTTAAACCCTGATAATGCTCTAATACGAGCACACATTTGCTTGCGCCTCACTGGACGCAGAAAAACCACATTAAGAAGACGCATTAGAGTTGAACTCACTGACGAGGAAACCAAAAGTAGATCTCAGGACCAACTGAGGTCACACTTAGGTATTTCTGAAAACGAGGCTGACCCAGATTTTGCTCGCGAAGATGTGCATACAACACTGACATCTATTAGTGATTTGAAACTGTCACGAAATACGATGGGTTTCTACTAAGTTTATTGCACTGATTGATTCTCGTGAATTCAACCCATCAGGCTCTGAACGCAATAAAGAGCGGAAATAAATCAAATCTAGGTTAACCAAAAGTTTTAGGAACGATAGTGAGCAACGAAAGCAAAAGAGATGGTAACACAAGACAACTCTACAGACTAATAAAAGAGACTGGAATTATGAAGTCAAATGTAAGTGAGACGATCCCGCAATAAGTCGACACTGCTCTCAGTTCACACAGAACGATGGCCGGAAACCTTTAAGGAGCATTTCAGCTGGCCTTCAGCTACTCTACAACTACCCACCATTCCCAGACAGCTCCAATGGACTATTGAAGCGCCCTCCCCTTGAATCTAGTTGAAGTTTAAAAGGCAACAGTTAATTTGAAACGAGGATGAGCAGCTGGCCCAGATGGATTAGCTCCAGAAGTATTTAGGTATGGTGGTCTAGTTTTAGCGATTAGGTTTACTAATAATTTAGCTAAAATCTGGAAGTTGTACGTAATCTCATCTGACTAGTCACAGTCACTGATTGTCCCAATATGTGAGAAGGGGTCACAATCATCTTGTGATAACCATAGAGGAGTTAGTTTAACTAATATGGCATCTAAAATACTAGCCTCAAATGTCGGACGCCTAACAAAGACTCGTGAACTGCAAACACAAGGAAATCCGGCTGACTCCAGACCTGGTCGTGGCTGCATCGACCACATATTCACTACTCGTCAGATCTTAGAACACAGGCATGCTTATCGGCGTCCACAATGATAGTTTATCTTAAAAACAGCATTTGACTCAGTAGATCGAAAGGTTGTGTGGCGGTGTCTGTCATTAAAAGGTGTACCTCAGAAGTGCATAAACCTTGTGAATGATCTATACTCGAACACTACCAGTCGGACCAGAGCTTATGGAAAGTTGTCATCTGATGTGTGTCCGAAAGGGCTATCCACTATCTCCAATTTTTTCAACTTCATCATAGACATATTGATCGAAACAACGTTCTCGTCAACTGGATTTTCGGGCGTCGATCTCCTACCAGGAGGTCAACTTATCGACTTAGAATAGGCAGATGACAGTGCTGTTTACTTAAGACGCTGATAAAATGCAGTGTCTTGGTAGCATTGTGAAACAATGCCAGGATGTTTGAGATGCGTTTCTTATCCTCTAAATGCAACATGTTGCTTCATGACTGGCTTCCGTCAACACTTGAACTAAGGATAGGCAGTGAAGTAGTCGAACACGCAGACAACTTCACTTGGAAATCTGATCAGCCCGAATGTGTTGGTGTCTGACGAAGTGTGTGCACGGATTCAGAAAGCTCGTTTGACTTTTGCCGAATCACGTCACCTATGGCGAAGGCGAGATATCCGTCTAACAATTAAGGGGCGAGTTTGCTGCGCGGAAGTTCGTTTTGTTCTACTTCACGTCTGCGGAACATGGCCATCAAGGGTAGGAGATGCTTGTAAGTTACTAGTATTTGATCACAGATGTCTCAGAAATATTGCCAGTGTCTGCTGGGATCACAGGGTAAGCAACAGTGAGGTTAGAAGCAAGGTCATAGGGGATGATGGCAAATCAGTTGATTAGGTTGTGAATCTTCATCGACTGAGATGGTTGAACCACGTGTTACGTATGCCTGAACACCGATTAGCACGGCGCACAATGCTGACGTGTTGCGGATGATTGGAAGAAAGTTAGGGGGAGCCAAACTAAAGCATGGCATCAGATCTTGAAGTCACTAACTTCTGTTTTGAGCCATGTCGGTAGATGCAGACTACTTGGTTGGGGTCCGTGCGACTATCGTAACCAATGCAAATAATATAATGTATTTGTAATATCCCAATGAGTAGAAATGGGTTTGGTTATTTATTCTCTGAGGAAGTGGCTTACACTCAGTTACGAAACGTCAGAAAATTTAATTTTCCTACTCATTGGAATATTACAAATATATTGATTTATTTATAACAATCTACCCAATGCTCAATTTACTCGAAATCATCAAGTCAAACCCTTGTAATGATATCGTAACCAATGGTTAGAGTCTCCGTGTGACATGGCTTAGAATCGGTCACAATGGCGCAGGTGTATATACTCTTTGTCTTCCCTTAAATCGTGAGATTAAAATTGCTCCATACCCCCTCTCTTCATACGAACTAATTCTTTCTTCCTGTGTTATATTCTCATACACAATCTTTCTTTTGTATATTACTACCATTGAAGTAATTCTATGAATTTGGTGTTGATCTTGTCGTGCCAATAAGGTGTGGCAGCTTGAACAGATGCATATATGCGCCTGGCTTTCGTTGTAGCTGACCGACTGACTGAGATGCGAAGGTCTAAGCCGAGTGTGAGTGATTTGGTCATCCCTGTATTCCAAGATAAGAAGACTAACTACGGTGATATATATATATATATATATATATATATATATATATATTTACTGTCACAATAAATTAAACCTTAAAGCAGTAAAGATTTTCGTTTGGTACAAATAAATTATATGTACGATTGTTTATTGTATAAAGTATTTTGGTTTTGTTATTAATTTGACCAGATTGTAATTTGTTGAGCTTTTTTCATATTATTCAGTTCTGTTAATTCTTCATTAAAAGCTAATATTGTTAATGTGGTTGTATTCTTAAATAAATTAGTTTGACCTTTCATACATTCTGGTAATTTAAAATGGTCAGATTCATTATTTTTACTGTAAACTAGAAATATACTTAAACATTTTATTGCATAAGTAGTTCGTTTCGCATTGGATGATGGTTCAATTAACAACGTTTGTTTACCAATCCAAAAGTTGAAATTCGACCAATTTCTCAACGATAAATAATGTTTCTTACCACTAGTTAATATTTGATCACCAAATTGTACAAAATTATATTTAGTTAATGTTTTAATTGACCACGGCCACGAATATTTTAAGCGTGTTAGTGAAAACCAAGAATTTACTTGTGCACCATGTGTATCAAATATTAAACAACATTTCACATGACCAATTTGATCAAGTAATTCAATCTTAATACTTTGGAAACCGAAAAATAAATTCGATGTTAAAAAATGGTTGGTATTTTGCGTATGATAATGTGTTTTGGGTTTATACCAGTTGTTTAATAACTCGTTACGATACCAACAATGGCATAGGATTTTACGTTTTAGTGGAAATGCACTAGGTGGACTGGCTATTTCTTGATACCATAATTTTTTAAATGATAAATTGATGCCTGTATCAAGGACAAATAATAATTTGTTAGGCTGTGGTAATAAAATGCCATCATTTTTACTAGGCATTAACCCATATGGTATGACATAAATACGTAGTTCATCAGCTTCATATAATGTAAATAAATAATTTGAAAATTTTGGTGGTAATTGATAATTTAAACTATCTTCTTGATGGGAATTTATTGGCAATGTGTAGAAAATTTGTGGATAATCATGATAATTACTGGTGTTTGGGAAATTATTATATTTCGAATTGATTGCATTATTCCATTCACATCGGGAAATTGCTGAGTTAGGATTGTCAACAATTAATATATAACCTCGTAGGAATTCACAATCTATTCGTTCTCTCTTCAACTTTTCAATTGTACTATAATCAACCGATGATAAAAGGACAATATAATTTGGATCAAAAACTACGGAGAATGCTTCATTGCTAAGAAAACATTTGTGTAGGAATACAAGAAAAAGCGATGTTAAATTTTATTCTGTTACCTATATTCTGAAAAAGGCTATAAACTTACTTTTTGCCGATATGTTTTAGATCTAGTTTCAGATGGAGTTGGAGTAGAAATAAACTTATGGTTACATGATATTTAGGACATCAATTAATTTACTAGCTAGTAGTTTAAATTGTGTCGGACCAAGTTTCTGATTGATGGTGGACAAACTGCTAGTCATATATGTTGTACGATTGAACTTTAGAGTTATGAGAATTTATTCCTGTATTACCTTGCTCTAAGTTTTCAAAATTCTATCGTTCACGGCACGTTAGTTCCTAGTTTCTGCCATTTCCCTCAGTTTTTGTTATTACTCTATACTTTCTATCTCATGTTACTATTGTGATAGGGAATTTAAATTGACTCAGGATCTATTATGTGACACTTGCGTAAGTTCCTTTTTTTAGTAGCTTGTCGAAAAAATCCATGAAAACTTAAATTCAAACAGGGGATATGTAACAGTAAATTTTAAGCCTGAGAAAAAACCTTTTGCTTGTATAGAAGTTAGTATAGGAAATCATTTAGTCACATCTAGATTTATGACAATTTACTTCCTAACCTCAGTTTCGAATTCTAAATATATTCAATTTTATCATTATTATAGTGATCGTCATCAACAACTGTTTTTAATAACTATTAAAAACAATTGGTACGTTATTAGATAAGTACTGGTGGATTTTTTTCTGGAATCTGACTGTATGACTCAAATTTCGGTTCACATTTGTAGTGATTTACCATTATGAAATAATAACTAACAATACAATTACAGGCTTAACTTTAAATGGATTGGTTGGGTTTTTCATATTGGTGTTCTAATAAATAAAAATGTCAATAGTTGAAGTCATATGTCAATTGGAGCTAGGCCACCATGGAAAACCTGGAAGCACTGAACAGCCGTCTCGTCCTAGTATGGGACTCCTCAGTATTGCACATCCACGGTCCCGCCTCACGAGATTCGAATCCAGGACCTATCGGTCTCGTGCGCGAATGCTTAACCTCTAGGCCGCTGAGATGACACCCAACGGTGCTAATGTCCAACTTCAACCATCTGAATTTGTACAAAACTGATTCTCTTCAAATTTTTATATGATATTAGGTGATTAAACAACCTTAGTTGGCAATATTTTGCGTTTATTGTATCGTTGATTCATATTATTTGAGACCATTTTCTTTCAGCTTATATAATTATCGTAAACATATGTATCGTTTTTTCTTTAAATTGCATATCACGTTCTTTTTACCTCAAATAGAATTAATCAACGAATTTTTTTCCTAACGTACGACATTAGTTGTATGCAGTATATAAATATCGACTAGACGCATATGGATTCTAACGGGATAGTGTTTATAATCACATTTTAAACTCGTGGATGAGCACTGCTGAAGAGTCCCATACTAGGACGAAACAGCTGTCCAGTACTTCCAGGCTTTCCATGATAGTCTAGCTTCAATTGTTTTATGATCTGAACTATTGAAATTACTACAATCTCCACAAAACCCCTTCTAAAAATAAAAATGTGTTTATTATTTACTAATAAGTAACATTTGTTAGTAGTGATTTGATATAGACTCTAACTTAGTCGCTACAGTTAAATTCTGTCGATTAATCCATCGAAGAAGAGTGATAAAACTACTAAGGGCTGTATTGGGGAATATATATTTATATCTATATCGAATAACCCTTTTGTTCGCCAAACCTCATTCTCAGACCGACTCTTGCATTGGGTTTAGCAATAAATGTCACATGGCTTTGACACCACCTTCCTAGTGAAATTAGTTTATAGAATGACGCATTCTTGTGTTGCAACATTAATGTACTTGCTTCACTATTGGCACATGGGCTCCAACTTTCCATGTGGCGGTTCGCCTAGCCAAATGAAATGACATCTTGGCTCAAAGGTTCTTCATAATAGTGGTTTATCATCGCCTTCTATTCTTGATTTCATTCTTTCACAGTTATTAGTGAAATACTATCTGGATATGAGATAAAAAAGAGATTAATCATTTGACTTCTGTATGTCAACAGATAAATAAATCAAGATTTATTTACGAATGTTTAACTTATATCATTGTAATTTGCTGTCTATGTAGATAGAAGTTGTAGTCATATTGATAATAATACACATAATAATCAGGAATGACTTCACGAATTCGATTCACACTAAATAAGTTTATTGAGAACGTACCTATTAATATATGTAAATTTTTCGAACTTTGACAACTGAACCACTTCTGTGAAAAATACAAATATAAATCATGTATACTCAAAAGGTTATTTTACTCAAAAAGAGTAATACCTTGTGAGGATGAATTTAGCCTTTTCCAAAAGTTCATATTCATTCCAAGGATACGAAGTTTTTAAAAACAATTTATTGAACCATGTATACTTATCTGAGTATCGTGCATTGAATCTTAGTTGAACGACTGGATTATTATTAGACCATAATTCAAATAATACATATTTATATGATCCACTATACCACTGATCAAATAAATCATGCTTATACCAACTATTTGACATCTTACTACTTATATCCATGTCGCCAGTAGTATGATTAGTTGTTATTTCATTGGAATCTGTATTTTTATTTGATATGTTTGTAATATTCCTGCTGGAAAAGTACATCTTATTTATTGATAACCCAGAACGAGACTTCATTGCAAACATTAGAATTGCTCCATTGTGCATAGCAGAATCTTCCCAATCTGTAGCTTGAAAATGTGCTTTATAAGTTGAATGGTAACTTCGATCTTTATACTGTTTACTAATTTGTGAATTATTCTTATCATTGCTTAGCGGTGGTTTATTTCCCCCGTAGCTTTCGTTTATTGATGTTAAAGGTTCTCCTTTTTTGAGTGTAGATACTCCTGGGTAAGCATATTGTGAACTATTTAATGAATAACTTATACTGGCTGGCTGTTTAAATGTAATGGAAATAAAAAAAAAACGGAAGTTATAACCTAAAAGTATTCTATGTTGTGAAGTATTGATTAACCACGATAAAATTTAAAATGACTAAAAATATTTTTTTTTCTATTTAGTATTAGTAGGTAGTCTGTAATATTACGTCTAGCTGTGTCAGTATTGACAAAATACATATATGTTGAAATCACTTATGATCGTCTGTTTTATACCCCTGTATTAAAGTTTGAAAAGTATTTATTATATTAGATTCGGATGTTTTGGTCAGTAAACTTCACACTTTGTTTACCACTTCCTGTGTAATTCTATAACCTTCATAGCTTATTGAGTTGTTTTTTCAGTATAATGTTTTGGAGACTGTTCAGTTTCATCGAAATCATGAACCAATCATTGTTAGACCACCATTGAAAACTTTCAAGTAGTGGAAAGTTGTTTCGTTCTAGTATGGGACTCCCCAGCAGTGTATATCCATAGGCGTGAGGGAGTTACCCACTGAAGACAATGAGAGATGGCCACGCAATATCTTGGGATTGATTGAAGTTAAACGTAAACACCGGTAGATGCTGGCTAATTGATCCAGAAGTTAAGCGTCCTTGCGCGAGACCTAAGGTCATGGTTTGAGTCCCCCATGCAGGGTTGTAGATAGGCACTTCTGGGGAGTTCCACACTAGGACGGACCGTCGCCCAGCACTTCCAAGTTTCCAGTGGTGATCTAACATCGATCAGTTCATGATTTAAATGAATCGGTCTTCTTTAATAATGTTGATTTAACTGATTTCCTAAGCTTAGAAGCGCACTAATGTTATTCATAGTCTTTAATATAATGATGAATATATGTTAGTATATACTCAACATACATACCAGTATTCTAGTTTAGAATTAAGTATTAAGATATTTAGTTATGTCAATTGTTTAAATATTCTGAACAAAATTTATTTTTTAATCTGTTTACTTTGTTATTAAGACGTTTTTTTGATAATATGATGTTTTATTTAATTCGAATTTCGGATTACCATTCTTTCAGTATTCATTTGAAAAGTCTGATTATGGTATTTTACACAAAGTTCTATGATAAGTAGATATTGTTATTGAACACACACTGCATTTCACAGCATTCATAAATTGATTGAAGGATTATCATGGTAAACTCAAGGTTACGATAAATTCTTTTTGTACACATAAATGGGGTTTAAAGTTACGAATAGTCAAGGCTTCTATATACCTGAGAATTCGTCCTTGTGATCCTCAAATCTAAAAAAGGTTCTTGGGTTGTCATTCATAACTGTGACTATAAGGTAAGAATGTCATCTATAATTTTTGGTCAGAGTAATTTCCTAGATGACGTTCCACCTAATATTAATTTTAGGAAATTGGAATCCGGAGTAAATTCCTATCTAATGAAGCTCCTTAAAATAAATGTCATAAACAAAGAGGAATTTAATATGCTGATACCTACCGGTTCTGTTCTCCCGAATTTGTATAGATTGCCTAGAATTCATAAACTTAATAATCCAGTACAACCAATTTTATATATGCGTGGTTCTCCTACACAGATCTTTAGAACTGACAAAGGTTCAGGGGTGGTTCTTATTGATAAGTGTGACTAAAGAAAAGATGTTATCTATACTGGGTGATCAGAGTAGGTTCCTGCAGGACGTTCCATCCAATACTAATGTTATAAAATTAAAATCCAGAGTAGTCTAATCTACCAAAGCTTCTTACAATGAATGGGATGAACAAAGAGGAAGTTAATTTGCCAAAATCTCCCAGTTCTGTTCTCTCAAATTTATATAGATTGCCTAGAATTCATAAGCCTAATAATCCAGTACAACCAATTTTATATATATGTGGTTCTCCTACACAGAAACTAGCTAAATGGTTAGGAAAATTGTTAAACCCAATCCGTAATAAATTATGTAAGTTTTCCTTGAAAGATACATTTGAATTAATTGATCTTCTTGAAGACTTTGAATTCTTTTGATGTAAAATTTTTTTTACGAATGTACGGTTAACTAAGACTATGGATTTCGTTTGTGACTATATATCTACTAATTTCCCCGTTTTTTCCTATTTAGTCATCATTGTTGAAAGAATTAATTTTATTATGTACTGCAAATGTCCAGTTCACGTTTGAAGACGAATATTTTCGAAAGTTGATGGTGTTGCTATGGGAAGCCCTTTGGGGCCTCTCTTAGCTGATGTATTTGTCAGATGTTGAAAATATGACGAGTATGGAAGATACATGGATGATATGCTAGTTATATGTAATAAAGATTTTGAGGTTTCCCGGTTATTAGATAAACTCAATGGGGTCCAAATCGATATCGTAATGAACTATGAAGCAGAAAATGATGGCCAATTGCCCTTTTTAGACATGCTTTTTAGTCGAAGGGAGGATGGTACTATAAAAACTGTCAGGCTGGTCAATATCTAAATTTCCAGAATTTCTGTCTATCGTATTACAAACGAGGCTTGGTTAAGTGCCCACAGGTACTGTTGGAGAAAACGAAAAACTGCTGAGTGACATTAATAACAAATAATTATCCAGTAAATTTTATAGATAGGTGTAGAAGTCAGTCAGCACTAAAACCTCTCGTTTATTCTGTTCCGAATAAAACTGTTTATATTTGTCTACCATTAGGAGTAGAATCTAATAGTATGGTTTTAAGACAGATTAAAAGCAGCTATCGTGAAAACCCATTACACTGCTAAACTGGTTGTAATGGAAAAGACTACGTCCATGATTCCGAATAGACCTAGGAAATTCACGGACGATTGCGCCACATCCTATTGCATTTACCAATTTACATGCTTGTGCGGACACGCTTAGGGAGGAGTAATCGAACAATGCAATCAAGTGTTATGGTACATGTGCCTAGGTGGCTTCAAAACCAATTAGTGTCAAATGGTCCATGTTCATCGATAGCATAACACATAGTTGCAACGGGGCACAGAATTAACATCAATGCAGCTTTTAAAACGTTGTATATAAATTGTCAAAAACGAATTCTTAGGTTCCTAGAAGTCATGGCTATTCGTAAATTTAAACCCCATTTATGTGTACAAAAAGAATTTATCGTAACCTTGAGTTTACCATGATAATCCTTCAATCAATTTATGACTTAGAGTAATGCAATGATTTCCTATTCTTTCCATACTATATTAATTTTCGCTCTCCTTTATTCCTTTGTTTACATGAACCTTCATTTAATTGATGTATTTTAAGCATATTCCCAAAATAAAATGGTAATACAATTAAAGGTAGTCTGAAATATCCATTCACAAATATATCAAAATGATAAATACGAAAAATGTTTGTTTGACTGCAATCGAATAAATTAAGCGATTCAATAATCCTTTAGATTTCATTTTGAACAACCAATCAATCTGGTCAGCAATTTTATGATGAATATAGCTCATAGGTTAGATAATTTCTGAGGATTTAAGTGAAATTTATAAATATGTATTATTGAACGTAGAGTAAAATTCCAACAAACGAAAGGAACAAGATTTATTTTTATTATTCTATACTGATTTTAATAGAAAATATGTGAGACTTCAAACCAATTAACAAACATTTTGTATAAAATTCAAATTTCGAACACTTACTTTCAGTAATTCAGTGGAACTATTATTAATACTCGAATTTCCATGGACTGTTGAACTTGAATAATTTCTATGAAGAGTTTGTTCAATTAATTTTAATAATAGATTTGCCATCTTATTTAATTTTACTTCACAATTGTTTTCAGTTCTGTTGTTTAAATTAGATTGATTCATCATTATTGAGTAATTTGTATGTGGTTCGTTTTGTATCGTTTGTCTAGTATCATCAGATATTGAATATGAAGGTGATATAGGAGATGAGCTATATCTTTCTCTGTTAAATTTTTTGCTCTTTAATTTATCTTGAAAGGATTTATAGTAGTTTGATGAAATTGTAGATATGATGGTTGGAGCTGTGGTGGTAGCCGTAATGATGGGGTTCAACTTTACTAAACCAGTTTTCTTTTGCCTACTGTCATGATCTTTTAGTAAATACAATAATTCTATAAGCTTTGTGTTTAATGCTTCATCATTTGTTTTGCTTTTTTGATATGGTACACTAACTGGACGTACCGGAAGCTGTTTTCTTTCATTATAATCACCATAATCGTAATAATATTCATAATCACTGTAAGGATATCTATATCTCGTTTGTCTCATACCCGAACGTCTCTGTTGATATGCATATTGATACCAGGGATTTACAGCGGCTGTTTGTCCATTCACTTTTTCAATGGGCTTTTTTAATGTTAGTAATCTTTTAATTTCACTACAATATTTTGGAACTGATAGAAATAAATTTATTAAATGAAACCAATATTTTATTCATCAAACCATTTAGAAAAAAAAATAAAATTCTAATGAAGATAAAAAATCTCAATAAAAGAAAAAGAACTTTTTCCTTAATTTTGCTTTCAAAACGCATGACATTAAATAAAGATGGAAATATTGAGCATAAAAGAATAACTTAGTGTTCTCCATGAAACCTGAATATTTTTGATACAATCCCGTGTGAAGTCTAAAGAAGCTCACTGCCTAAGAGTTCCTAACTGGGACAAAATAGATTGTTAGTTCTCTCAAGTGTTCAGTGGTTTTCTAGTTGTAGTCATCTATTGATAAGGACTAGTTATACATTTAGTGACTATATATAATCAGATAATCATTATTAGTAGAGCATTATACGATAATCTTTGACACTTTTTAATAACTAGTATTCCATAACTGTTGATCTTTTTCGTATTATAGACTTTAAAACATCGTATAAATCATTTAAAAAAAAACACATTTAGATTACCGAGTTGAACTTCTGTTTTCATTCTTAAACACAACACTCAAACTGAATAAATATAACATAAAAAAAAACAACTCAAATTCATTTTCCTTTTTTTTTTTAAAAAAAGTGATCAATTTTTATTTCATTTAAGAAAATAGAATCAAATTAAAATTCTTACTTTTCACGGGGCAAATTACTTCAGTAGGATCGAAATTTTTTAAATCTAACTCTTTATAACCATTAAATTCAGTTAGTGTAAAAGTATAATGTGAAGGTTTAGCTAATCTACGTACACCTAGTTGATTAGCACCTGGTACTCCTATACTAAACACATAATCTACACGTTTATGTAATTTATGTATAATTTCATCTGATTTAATAAGAATCTGATTATTTTTATGTTGTATTTTCTCTGGAATATTACCATTTGTAAGTAGAATAAGCATTCGTGTAATATTTTGTGTATCTGCATTATGTATTGGAATAAATCCAAAATTTAAAATGTTTGAAATTGCATAGATGATATCGGATTTCATTAAATTTTTATCAGGTTGTTTCATATTATTTATTGCCATTAATAAACTAGGCAAATTTATAGAATGTTCTGGTTTCACTGCAAAATATAGTTGATCCGTAAATAAAATGACCGAAATTAATACTCCATTACTTTTGATCGATAGCTAAAATGAAATAAATGAGAACCGAAAAAAAAATTTTGTAAAAAAAAATATTAGAAAATCAAATTGTTTTATCAACAAACAAAATGAAAGTGTTAATTTTTTCCTTAAAACAAATTTATTTCACTGGAAAATTCCCATTATAATAAAAACACAATTGTATGAAAGAAGAATATTCCTTTTCAATAATTTCTCATCAGGTTCTACAATTATAAATCCAAATTATTAATCCATAACATTGGCCAGATGTAAGGCAGAGAGTACATCATTTGGAAATGATTGAAAAGAATAATATCTTCGTTCATACAATTGTGTTTTAATATAATGGGAATTTTCCAAAGATTCAAATCTTGTGATCAACCCATTGCGTTGAAGGCACTCAATGAGTATCTGAAGTATAACGCAAAGTTCACAGAAACAAAAACATCATTGGAATTTATTAATAAAAAAACTGTATCAAATCATGTCATTTGGAAATTGTAATATGTGAATTGAGAATTGTACATAATTTGGAAATGATCTACACTGTTTCAAATATGGCCAATTTTATGGATTATTAATTTGAATATATAATTGTAGAACTTGATGAGAAATTATTAAAAACAAATTTATTTACCTTTTTAGCAAAATCATTCAAATAATCTTTCACATAATAATCAAATGAAAATTTATCAATTAATTGAGTTCCATCTAAAAGAAAAACAACATCAGCTTTGATTGATTGAAGACATTCTGGAAGGAAATAAGAAGTAAACAAAATGAATTATTAGAAAGTTAATTAAAACAAAATAGTATTCCACTTTTATTGTTTTATTTATTTAAAGTTTCAAGTGATATGATAATGTCTAGAGAAATAATAAAAGTTTCATAATTCAATTGTTTAACTCAGAGAACATAAGTTCAATGAGAAGGCAATAGGAAGTCAATAATCTTGATGAAATAATACAATGGGTATGAATATTGATTATTGACGATTTGTTAGAATTTATGTGTCCATATTTAAAGCTTACTATAATTTATTATAATAAACAATAGTGTAAAACATTTTATTGTTATTCATACACTAATGGGTATACCTAGTTTGCTTCTGATTATTTTATGCATTTAGAGAAATATTTATCTTCAGTATTCATGTAACAGTGGAGTGTTACGTAATAGGGTATTATTTCTATTCAGTAAAGAATAAACTTAGTGAATATTGTTTGATGTCTATTTCTAGAGTCCAAATCGCCATATTTACTAATTTAATTACCCTCAGACAGAAATATACATTTCATTTTCTTCTACTTATTTACATGATTTGATTTTTTTTAAAATTAACTGAGTGTTTTGCTACATAATTTTAAGCATTCTATACTTAAACTGATATAAATAAACAAAGATGGATATTGGGTAACATTGGAATCCAGGATGCGCGTTTTATCCTATTCGCGACATCCAGCTGACGAGTCCCAGATAGGACAAAATGCGCATCCTGAATTCCACTGCTAGCTACTATCCATCTTTGCTTATGAAACTTGTGACCTAAGGCAATATCGAGGCAGTTTGCACAGAATGCACATATGCCAACAAGTGACTGATCGTTTGCAGTCCTAAATAACAATCGGAAGATACAACTAAACAACACCAAGTGAATTTTTTGATAAAAATAAACTTTTAAGAAGTTTCAGTAACATAATCACGTAAAGTTTTTCTGAGATTATTCACTTCTTTCATCATAACTCCTACAGATTCTACTGAAAACAATGTCTACAGTAATTAGCTTCATTTTGTTTTCTTTCAGTTAATAGATATTAACAAAAATTACTATGTATTTATTCTTCAATAAATGTAGAATTAAATTTAGAAAACATCAGTGTTGACATAAATCAATATTGTTGTGATGTAGTAATACCATATGCCTGATGGGTAATTTTATTACTTCTTGCTTATAGAATGCTCTAAATAAAGTGATGTTGCTGTAGATAAAAGATCTCTTGGACTGTACGAACTTTAAGCTTACTCACGTGTAGTTTGTCAACAGTTAAACTATCATTATGTATTAATCATCGTTTTATTCACTCAGATCCCTTCAGTCATATAAGGATTCAAAAACAATTTATTCACATTACAATACTAAATTGTTATCATTTACCCATTATTCATTACGGAAATAAATTTACCTACCATTTGATAGTGGTTTCATCTTCAGTTATTATTACAAACAGTAAATAAGTTTCTTCATATTTCTCAATGGTTGATATGAAGACGTTCTAATTATGTGTAGTAATCCAACTTCTAAATCTCTTACTTTTCATAAACCTCGTCAAGATGATGTTATTTGCAAAGGCTACAAAGACTTCACACTTGGACCATCCAGTTAGGAGATAACAACATTAAGAAGAATACGTAGTTCCTTTTATTATTTATACATTGGACCTGATCATTTTATAATGAAGCAAGTACTTAAAGCTCACCAATCAGTGGTAATTTCTATACTTTGGAGTTAATGCTATTCAAACATAATCTATGAAGATATATCCCTTCACTAATTGCGTTTTGGTATGAGACAGCTATGGTTAATTTATGTATCTGATTATTTGGGATTGACTGTTTATGTTACACGATAATTTCGAATCTTTGAATGCTATTGACCAATTTATCTTCAAGGAAATATGCTTGCCAATCTCTGATGAGGTTAGAATCAATCATAAATTAATTTTCCTAAACTTTATGTTTATTATGAGTTAGTTCTGGGGTAAGATATGATTATCACTATTGTTTTTTTTCTACAAACAATGGATACTCATTTTACTGACATCACCGCTATACTTCATTAATTCATAGGAAGCCCAACTGATTTTTCATCCAGAACTTGATCACACAAGACAATAGTCCAGTTTAACAACTAAATATACATTAACTTACAAAATATACGATTACTGTTGTGGCTAATTAAATGACTATAAAAGATGTAATTGATTTGATTAGAAAAGAACGTATAAAATAATTTTGTCAATTCATTTAATAATAAATAATCAAACAGTTAGTATCATTAAAACATAGCTCAGTAAATTTTTTATAAAAAATCTAAATATCAATAAATATCATCTTAGAACATAAAATTTCTACTGCGCACAAGACCAATAGGTTCTGAGTTCGAATCCCGCGGGGCGGGATCGTGGATGAGCACTGCTGAGGAGTTCCACATTAGGACAAAATGGACGTCCAGTGCTTTCAGGTTTGCTATGATGGTCTAGCTTCATTTGACTCATGAACTCAACTATTAACATACATTTTCATTTGTTTTAATATTTAAATTACACAAAATTGTAACAAATATTTATCACTTACCTGGATCCTGTGTTATAAAAGCTTGTAATAGATGAAAATATATACTCCATATTAGGATTTCTAACCATAACATTATTTGTTTGTATAAAGTGTTCAGTATAAAAATGGTTTCTTTCATAAGAAACTAATAACAATGTAACTATTAATAAATAAATATTATGTAATTTAATCTAATTGGACAGAAACAAAGTTTTTTCAATAATACTGGTTTTTTTTTTTATTTAAATATCTATCTGTATGTTTGTATAGACTGGATACTACGTAATAATATCCAAGTAATTTAGTTACTATGTTGACTAAATTTAATATAGAACACGTTTTCTGTAAACGAACAAGGAGAAAGAAATAACAACAAAAAAGAAACAACATAAATTTTATTATTTTTTTTAATCAAAAATGATTTATCACTAGTTCAATTAATAAATCATTTGGGGGGGGGTTGTAGCTAATTTAGTCTACCTTAGATATATTTGCTGACAAGCATATGAATATAAATTGATCAATATAGTAGAGTGTGACGTAATCACTTATGTGATGACATTTGTTTTAAATTACAGGTATTGCTTTCTCAACACGGAGAAAGAAACGAAAATGGTGAGAGATTTGCAAACCTATGTGCCTTCAATAAGCTGGTCATAGGCAGCACCATATTCCCACATAAACGCATACACAAAACCACATGGACTTCACCGGATCACTCTACACAAAACCAAATCGACCATATTTGCATCAACAAAACGTTCAGGAGGACGTGAGAACCAAGAGAGGAGCTGATATAGCTTCAGATCATCACTTACTGGTCGCCAAGATGAAATTGAAACTCAAGAAGCACTGGACAACGGGGCAGACAGTATCACAAAAGTTCAATACGGCCTTTCTTCAGGATACTAACAAACTCAACGAATTCAAGATAGTCCTCAGCAACAAGTTCCAGGCCTTTCATGATCTACTCAATGGAGAAGGAACTACTGTGGAGAGCAACTGGAAAGGAATCAAAGAGGCAATCACTTCAACATGTCATGAGGTCCTGGGTCACAAGAAGCACCATCACAAGGAATGGATCACTGTTGATACACTGGATAAGATTCTAGAAAGGAGGAACAAGGAGGCAGCGACCAATACCAGCCGAACAAGAGCAGAAAAAGCCAAGGCACAAGCTGAATACACGGAAATAAACAAACAAGTGAAGAGGAGCATCAGAACCGACAAACGTAAATATGTGGAAGATTTAGCAACGACGGCGGAAAAGGCTGCAAGAGAAGGAAACATGAGACAATTGTATGACACGACAAAGATAGATCGTGTACAGACCAAATCGCAACTTTACGGATCATTGTGGAACAATCAATTGAATGGAATTCATCACTCTACATCAACTTCATTGACTGCGAAAAGGCATTTGATAGCGTGGACAGAACAACACTATGGAAACATCTTCGACACTACGGCGTGCCTCAGAAGATAGTCAATATCATACTGAACTCATATGATGGATTACACTGCGAAATCGTGCATGGAGGACAGTTGACAAAGTCGTTCGAAGTGAAGACCGGTGTTAGGCAAGGTTGCTTACTCTCACCCTTTCTCTTTCTCCTGGTGATCGACTGGATCATGAAGACGTCAACGTCTGAAGGAAAGCGCGGGATACAATGGACATCTAGGATGCAGTTGGATGATCTAGACTTCGCAGACGATCTGTCCCGTCTATCACAAACGCAACAACAGATGCAGGAGAAGACAAACAGTGTGGCAGCAGCCTCAGCAGCAATAGGTCTCAATATACACAAAGGGAAAAGCAGGATTCTCCGATACAACATAGCATGCACCAATCCAATCACAATTGACGGAGAAGATTTGGAAGATGTAAAAACCTCTACGTATTTGGGCAGCATCACTGATGAACAGGGTGGATCTGATGCAGATGTGAAAGCGCGGATCGGTAAAGCAAGAGCAGCATATTTACAACTGAATAATATCTGGAACTCAAAACAACTGTCAACCAACACTAATGTCAGAATTCTCAATACAAATGTCAAGACCGTTCTACTGTATGGGACAGAAACCTGGAGAACTACGAAAGCCATCATCCAGAAAATACAGGTGTTTATTAACAGTTGTCTACGTAAAATACTTCGGATCCGTTGGCCAGACACTGTCAGCAACAACGTACTGTGGGAGAGAACAAACCAGATCCCAGTGGAGGAAGAGATCAAGAAGGAGAGCTGGAAGTGGATAGGACACACATTGAGGAAAGCACCCAACTGCGTCACAAGACAAGCCCTCACATGGAATCCTGAAGGTCAAAGGAAAAGAGGAAGACCAAAGAACACATTACGCCGGGAAATGGAGATAGACATGAGAAAAATGAACAAGAATTGGATGGAACTAGAAAAGAAGGC